CGTAATAACAATTTGGCAATTTGAGTTGCATAACATTAAGATATAATATCTCTACAATAAAAGTACGACCTATGTAGTACAATTGTACATGGTATATTGAATATTACAACAAACTGCTACTTAGTTACTTAACATAATGAAGGAAATCCTGTAAAATCTTGAAGGAATCTTCGTATTAGGTATATATAATAAGATTTACGTATTCTAAGGTGTTATCTTTTGCTGAGCATCCATCACTACTACTAGTATATAGACTAAGATAGCATTATTGGGCAAAACGAGTCGCGCGGGGCGGGCGGGGAGGCGGCGCGGTCGGATTCTGTCGGCCGTCGCGTCGATAACTAATTTAGATCTATTACCGATTAATTAGGCGAATTCTCTCAAATACCATTACATATTGACTACTGTGATGACATTGGAGTGAATTAGGTACAGATTAGATTTGTAGCTTATAATATAAATTTTGGAATTCAGAATTTCTTAAGAATTTTCGAGCAATAGATATATTTTGTACAAAGCAAGTGAGCAGTTTTATAGGTAGATAGATTACATTAAAATGACTTGCATTCAAGTAGGAAATAAAGTTATCGTTTTAACCGTATTTTTTCGCGCATTTCCCCGGCAAGTTTCGGGTCAAGTGGTGCTCGGCGCGAGGTGTGCGAACTGCAAACCAATAATAAGGAAATTAAACAGTTCGCTAAAGTACTGCGTGCCGCGACTTACCCTCGCTGCACTATGTGCCGTAGTATTCTACTCCAGGTGATAGTCTATCTGTGTACTAAATTTTATCCAAACTAGTGCAGTCGTTTCGGCGTGATGAAGTAACAAATATACAATAGATACAATTTGCAATTATAATAGTCGTCCGATAACTTAACACATTAACACTTTCCTATTTATTTTGTTGATAGCAGCAGTCTCAATCCGCAAATAGATGCATGTGTACTAACTACGTACATATACATATATGTGCCAACATGACACGTCTTTAGACTTTAATGATGCAAGCAAGGGGAAGTCGTGGTCTTTTTACAAGTTTTTAAAAGAACAGGAAATGCGCTTAGTGTTTGTCTATCCTAACATCAGTTGATGTCGCACATATTATAGATACCTAGTACTAGTAAGACATTAACAAGTATATATTATTAACAAGTAAGTAGGCTACACTCATTCATCTTATTTCCTCACCGCTCATGGCCTCTTCTTTAGAAGCAGACTGATCAAAATGAGGCTAACATGGATGATGGATCCAATAGTAATACACTCTGTGTCTAGGAGTTAATTCGTACATAACTTATATCGCTGGACTAATAATTAATTTTAACCGAAAAGGTTGCTTTTTTTCAACCGACTTCAAAAAGGAGGAGGTTCTCAATTCGACTGTAATTTTTTTTATGTTTGTTACCTCAGAACTTCGTCATTTATTAACCGATTTGGACAATTTTTGTGTTGTTTGAAAGTGTATACTTCCAGATTGGTCCCATTTAAATTTAAAAAAACAACCACCCCTAAGGGTGGAAAAACAGCTAATGATAAATTTAACCTACTTCTAATTGTCATATTGACTTGAAACTTTGCAAGTGTTTCTATTTCCGTTGATAGTACAGTGGTTCGGTATTGTTGACCTGATCTGATGGTAAGGCCAGAAGGTGGATAGGTGGAACTCTTCAACGGCTAATAGTAGATACTTTGAGTTTGGGCTTATTTTGTTCGATTTGACAAGCCTAACTCGATAGAATTCTTACTTTGCTACTACTACTGTCTACACTAAAAAGAGAAAAATAAAAACTTTTTAACAAAAAAATAAAAACCGATTTCAAACAAAAGCACTAAAAAGTAAAAAATAAAAATATTGACTGTTGCTTCTCAGTACGTGTACGACAATGTTATGTATGTCCGTAAATCGAATTTCCCTAGAAGTGTGACATGCATAACATTAATACTAGGAGCAAACACAAACTTGTAATGCCTGGGACACGTCTACACAGAGTTAGTAATTCTTTTTATGGACAATGTATACGCTTGTATTTTTACCTTTATCGTCATCGTCAGTTCAGCCATCAGACGCCCACTAATGGACATATGCCTCCCGAAAAGAATGCCATAAGAACCTATCTAGCGTTGCTCTTTCTGTGTTAAGCCTATTTATCTATACTAATATTATAAAGAGGCAGAGTTTGTTTGTTAGTTTGAACGCGTTAATCTCAGGGACTACTAATCCGATTTGAAAAATTCTTTTTGCATTAGATAGCCCGTTCATTGAGGAAGCCTGTAGAAAAGTACTGAAGCGGGCATTTTCGACTGCGCGCTGATCAAGAAAAGGCTGCAAACGGCAACTCGGCTGGACTATCAGCGCGGTTGTTGACCTATGCCCACACGCCACGCGAAAAATTGAATTTATATAATATAAGTTCTTTTCGCTCCGCGAACAATTATTATTATTGTGCTTAAAGTACTGAACGTCGTATTGGTCAAAGTTAATGATGAGTTGTGTATTCGTCTGTCAAGTATGAATTTGCCGCCCGGAGCGCGAGCCCCGGCTTGCCCCCCCCCTCAGCCCCCCCCCCAGTCCCCCAGATCCGGGCCTGAAAAGAGCCAGGCATAGGCATCTACGATTTTAACTCGAATGAAGCCACAAGCAATCACTAGATTTTTTATATAAGCACAAGAAGGAAGGAAGAAATCGCAGACGAAGTTGCGGACAAAAAGCTATTTATTTACTGGTATTCTTAATGAATTCGCGGATGATATATTTAATTATCTTTACATATATTAAAACAGTAACTTAGCGAAAGCTGTGTTTCAAATATTTTTTAAAAACAATGACTGTAACGTACTTATTGTGTATAGAATGAATACCCCAAAATAATAGATATTAAAAAAATTGGCTGTTTGTCTGTATGAAAAAATCTGCAATTTAAGCATATGTCTATCTTCTGAGATATACTAGCAATAACTATTTATATTGAAAATGTAGCGAAGCGAGGGTAAGTCACTAGTTATGTATAAGATTACGAGACGACATCTAATGATTGAGCGTGCAGTTTTTGTTCATTGTAAATCGTAATGCAGCTTGTATGAGTGCAGATATGCGTTACGTTACACTTTCCAAGTGGATATTGTATGTTTGTGGTATCATTAAAGATAGCGCGCCGCAGCGGTTATGTAAAAGGAAGCGGCCGCTCGTCCGCTCGTCTTCTAATTGCGTCGAGACTCGGCGACCAATTGGAAGCTAAGGATGATGATACTCCGAATGGACAATTAAAATATTTGTTATAACTAAACGTATACGTAAATTAAAATGTATCCTGTGGTTGATAAATTTCCATGAATAGGATCAGGTACTTTATTTAGATGGAATTTTAAAAATAATGTCGGTGTGTCTGCCGCCCTGGAGTTACCCGCTGGCTCCGCACCTTTTCACTTAATGCTTTTTTCTCTTAATTCTATTGCTCACAGAAACTACGCAGAGTTGGCAGTGTAACACCCCTATGTAAGACGTCCCGCGAGTCTTGCCGAGACTGCCCTCTGACCGTTGAATGGTCGCGGTCGAATGCCTTATTAACTACAATCAATAGCGGTTTGGCAATCGTCTCGATGACTCCGCGCGTCCGCCAACTGTGGCTAATTGGAGTCAAACATCTATTCTACTAAATCTACGACCATCTCCGCCATGCGACCTTGGTGCGGCGGTCCATCGCCACTCGTTGCGTCGCTGCGTGGCCCTCGTCTCTATAGGAGCTTTCTTAAGGAGCTTTTTAATATTATTGACTGATAGTTATCAAAAAAATGTTTTCTTCCTGAACGATGTTACATACATATGTTACTCATAATGTTCTTTGTACATTTGACAATCGGAAAGTAACTACAAATTACTTATCGCTAGCGAGTAGCGACCTGTCTTCGTTTCGCTTAGCTCCAACTAGATCCCGTACTCTTCAGTAGTTTTTTATAACATACCTACATACAACTTGTTTTCCACTCAGTGATAATACAGATTGATTTAATAATTATATTATAAAATAGATTGGTTTAATAATATTCAGAATATGTATAGTAATGCTTTGAGCATTACTCCCTAAATTTTTAACCTATAAAATATTAGATAATAAAGACATTTTATATACTTAAGGGTAAGTATGTATCTATGATTTTTAATTCATTAGAAAAAGAAAATCAGGTAGGTGTGTACTTATCTATACAGATAAATAGAACTGAAGTGTCTGTTTGTAATGTCGAAATAACAGAATTTTTCTAAATGTATGTGAAATTAAGTATATACGGTACTTATAAGAAAAACACTTTTTTTAAATTTTGTCTGTCTGTTTGTCTGTCTGATTGTTCCGGCTAATCTCTGAAACGGCTGGACTGGTTTTGAAGGGACTTTCCCTAGCAGATAGCTGATATTATAAGAAGTAACTTAGGTTACTTTTTATTTTAGAAAAAAAAATAAGGGTTGCGACTTGCGTTCAAAAAAAATAAAACCTATCTACGGCCGGACCTAGCCTACCCGAGGCGAGGCTTAGTCGCCAGTTTTAAATAAAATTTAATACAGAAATATAAAATATTGTGGGATCATTAGCGAGTGCTCTGAGGTCGAAACATTTCATTGCAAATAACTTTTGGATATATGAAAGGAAAGTGACTGCGAGAGGTAGTTTTATCGAAAACTTGCGAGCTTAAGTAACGGCTAACGAGTCACTGCTACTCTTTCATAAACATGCAATACAAGTTGTAAGCTTTTCCGAAACATTTATACGAGTATCAGAGGCGAATTAAAAGGAACTCGTTTCAATGTTTTTTTTTTGTATAAAATTAAGAATATAATATCTATTATCTCTACCTATTTAACACAAATAGGAAATGTCGAGGAATTCTCGATTTGAGTTGTTTAATAAGTTTCTTAACTAAATGCGGAGGATCAAAATTGTACGAATTAGAACTTTCCTTTCAATTTCAAAATACTAGAGGCGCGGCAAAGTTAATTTATAGTAGGAATTATGAATGATTATGATACAAGAATTCGTTACGTCGCGTCGGCAGTGAGCGGTGTGGGCAGCTGGGTACTGCATCGGGATGGCTATGACACGATAATATTACATATACATTACCGTGGCTATGACGAGCACTCTCTATAAGGAAATGTAATGCTTCTTCGCCCTTTGACATTAGGTATTATTTATATTAACATAACCACTGTTTTAATTTGTTTATAAATTTTAAAGACTAAATATAATTGGATGGATGTAAACGACAAATATATTCTAAACCTATCTGTTTGTTCTTATAATATATGTCTTGAACTCGCAGGTATGTTCTTATTTATTTGTTAAAACGTTCTTAGCATAGTTGTGTAGTGTGTACGTCGACGTCAGTTTAAATATTTAATGATGATTATTTGTTGTCAATTTAATTTAAATATCTATAATAAATTAATATTATAGAATCATAATAGGAGCAACAATACGTGCTGGTCACTAGTGAGGAGGGCTACACGTTGGGAATTTTCATGATTCATCAGCCTGTAAAGTGTAAAGTCACCCCGGGTCCCGGGCGCGTGTCGTGTGTCGCGTGTGGCGACGCGCGGTGCGAGCGCGGGCCGGCCGCCGCGGCAGTGCCTTACGAGGCGCGCCGCGAGCTCGACGTGTCTGTCTCGCGCCCATGTGCAGTGTGCCCGCGCCCCGGTGACGCCTGCCCGCGCCCGCCAGCCCGGCCTGCCCCAGCCTGTCCCGGCCCGCCGGCAGCCCCGGCCTGCCTCGGCCCCGCCATGGGCTGCGCCCGCGGTCTCTGCACCGCCGACAAGATATTCATCTTCATCAATATCGCCTTCGCGGTAAGCTTTTACTCCCTTTATTCGAAAGCCAAAACATGAATTAAAACTAGAAAATTTACACAACTTCCAATATTATTAATGTTTCTAAAGATATGCTTCGCCTTTTCTTGAGGTTTTAATAGTTTGATAATTTTAAAAATATTGACAATGGCACTGTTTGCAGAATACGGTCGATTCCGAAGTTTTTAAGTTTTGTTTTAAATACACGCACACACACACTATGATCATTGATCATTTTTATAATATATAATCATTGTATTGAATTTTATTTGATGGTTTATAAACTTTTGTAATAGGCTAGTGATTTCTAATTTACTTGTCATAATATTAAACGTGTATATGAAAAGCAAGATTGACTCCAAAACGGGTCTGGTAAACCAGTTCCGTATTCCCAAACCGATGAGTAAAGCGTTGCGAGTAAATAAAAAGTTTATACGTTCCCTTCGAGGGTCGTCGGTGTATTGTCTCGTCTACCTGCAGGTGCAGCACAAAGCGCGGCCGCTCGCTACTCGCCGTACACCCGCCGGCCGCCTCGTACTTACTATCGAGCAGCTTCTGCTTAATTCGTGACCCAAATTAATGGGAGCCGCGTCTTTGAACTCGCATTATTTTCATTTGTAATGATTACGACATCCCGAGCGATCCGCGCAGATTTGGCGGTGCGCTGTAGCAGTCACGGACGTTCCTCAAAAACGTGTCTATCGAGTGGGCTTGTGCAGTTTGTTTCGCGCCCTCGCGAGGAAATATGATTCATAAGATAATTTGCGCTTGTTTCAAGTGCAAGATAAACAATGTTACAAAACCTATACATTTGTGTTTGATGCAATAATTATTATTGTTTATGTTATGTTAAATAAAAACTTACTTACAGTTAAAAATTCTTGCTAAGTAAATAATAAATATTAAATATAGACCGCATGAAGTAAATATGATTATGTCCATAATATATTTATTACATTTGCGAGTACGACCGAAGTGTTCTGTCCCTGAGCCCGCCCCGTCTACCCGCAACGGAATTAATTATTACGTTAGAATAGATAGAAGAAACTTTTGTGTTGGTTTTCTATTTATTCCGGGTGTAATTTTGAAAATTATTATGTACAATGGAATTTATTTTATGTCTTATTAAGATAATTCATAATATTATATGTATAAGTAATTTCATAAACGTAAAGTTTTTATGTACATCGTGAAACAAACTAAAAAAACTTATTGAATATTAAATAATAACAATTATGAAGTAAAACAGATATAATATTATATTACGTATAACATAAGCTTGTTAACGACGGACACCCTTCGATTAGTAGTCCCAGGCCGGCGAGCGAGGCGCCGGGAACGGCCCGGCCCGAGGTGCACAGCTCGTAGTAACTCACTCTTCACAAGTCACAACCATCAACATCACACCCTCCCGCAAGAACACATGACGTGAGCAACTGTGCACTGATCAGACCGGTCGCGGCGCCGGAACACGCCCACGTCTAACTTGTTACACGCCTGGCATTGATCTTGAGTGTCGATATATTGGTGAACAGAACGGTTCATGTAATATCTATTACCTATGTAAACTACTAAAACATACGAGGAAATTATCCAAAGTAGAGATTTGTTTATGTCAATAGTAAACCTAAAATGTAACACACCATATTGCCTTGTGTATTATGCATAGTTGTATGACGTATCGCAATTCGCAACCATAAATAATAGCTTATTTATGGGGTAGGGCTGTCGTTAAGTCACTAAGTAGTAAGTTGACACTTGACAGTGACCTCCGCGCGAGCGCGACGCGTCACGCGGGGAGCTGCCGAGAAAGCTTAATGATGTGCATCTTCGACGGGCGCGCCGCGTGCCGCCCACTTCTCCGCTATTTGGAAGTCAAACAACGTCTTGCCTTTCAACGAAACAATGTTACGTGACGGCACTTGGCTTTTTATTGTTTTACCCACATTCACTTCGGCAGATCTACATAACACTGGTCCTTCAATAAATACCATTACGTACAAGCACAGACGACAATATAGGTTGTATTGTCTGTGCGTACAAGTCTCATGACTCTCATAAACATGACCAACTAAAAGGAATTATTATCGCAATTGCTTTAATAATTTTATTTGAATACTTCTGATTTTTAACCAAATCATCAAATGAATTTTTTTTAAATGTCATATTTACAATATTATATACAAACATGTAATATACTCGTATATAATGTTTTGCAACCTTAATTGCAACCTGTTTAGATTCGTAAATGACAAGTAAAAGTACGCTAACGACGTCGACGTCATTAATTTATTTCAATATTAATCATTGATAAGAAATGGAATTGTATTATAAATAATAATTATATAATTATAATAAGCGTGTAAAAACATCTCGGAGCGGCGAGCGCGTATTTGCGAGGCGCAGAGCGCGGCGGCGCGACGCACGTGTGCTTTTATCAGCTGTTTACATTCTCATATTATATTGTATGTTCAGTGAGTAATAGCGAGCAATGCGCACGCATACGCTTAATATTTTATCGATGAGTTGGCTACATCGACGAATAAATAAGGTATATCATGTCAGGTGGTTCCTGTAGGTATCGTAGAGAAGAGTCGATAAGCACGGTCATGCCGGTTCCCGCATGAATCGAACGAGGACGGCCATTGGCCTAACGGTCTAAGAGCTTGGGTTTGAGTCCTGGGACAAGACCATTCAAGAATAATGAAGATACACATACACATCATAAATATGCCATATGGGCAACACTATATCTCTCAGGTCGCCACGGCCGACACTCGGTCTGAACGACTTTATTATTTTGTTTAGTTTAGAGATTTTTATGTAAGCCTAATATATTATCCTCAATTTTTTGTATTTAACATATATGTAACATAAACATACTACATACTTATAAAACAAAAGCTTACGGAGAACACTGAAAAGGCTTGAGTTTTATAAGGTTTCAGTTCCGAGGATACCACCACATTGTTCTTTTCCATTAATTCAAAGTCATGAAAAAAAGTGATCAAAGCGGCAATCGTCTCGCACGAGCCGTGGGTACTTGTGAGTATCTCAAGTTCTGTGTTGACTGTTACAAGGAAACATTCAATTACTGTTTTAGTAATTTCAGAAATACATAATATCTTCAACCTACGAGCAATAATGTTATTCGTTGTCTACAAGTTACTGTCAGTTTCTGAAGGATATAATTAACATTATCAATTCTTGTTCACAGCACTCAGTGTCAGAGCACACTTACGTACCATGTAGGTACAAATGTAACCAATTAACTCGTGTGTGTAGATGTATGTATACAGTAACTATATTTGAAATGGGGTTAAATATGATTATTTCTAAAAAAAGACTCAAACAAATCGTCCACTGTATGCTCGAAGGATGCGCTCTCAAACAGACAAACAAATGTAATAACTTTCTATACAATATTAGAAACTAAATAGTTTGTAATATTATATTACTTGATACATCTCATCTCGTGTCTTCCGGGAAGATTTAATTTTTTTTCTAAAAGTATTTCGCGTACATGAACTAACTACCCCGTTACATTTTTATAACAGACATGTAGAAGCGTGCGTATCGAGGGTCAAAAGTGATTGTGATAGCACGATGTTGCTCACGTTACACACACGGTATACGTATACGAGTATCGGCTCCGGAGTGCATTTTTGCAGGGTTACACTTGTTATGTCTCGCTATTCGCTAGTCGCCAGTGGCTAGTTGCAGCTCAGTAAACTTTATAAACTTTACTCGTGGAAACTTGAGCCGCTCGCCCGGTGTAAGGTTATGTCACTGTAAGCAAACACTTTGACGCAAGTTTAAGGTTAGCATATTATTATATCGTATCGGGCACATCTTGTTACTATAACTCGGTGAGTTTCGATTTATATAATATCTGTGTATAATGATGAAATCAGCGTTGTTTGTTCGCTCGTATTAGACAGGTTAAAAGTTATCAGTCACATTAAACATGTATATTTATATATGACGGAGCAGAATTCAGTTACCTTTTTCTGCTATAAAACCTTATTATTGTGTAAAGTCACTATGTTACTTAGTTTAGTTTTTATTGCTTTTAAAGTAATTTTAAATTTAGAGCATTCTTTGCAGATACGTGGCTTAGTAACGTTGGTTGATTATGGTGGATCATAGAGAGTCATGTTTTGATATTGTACGTCTCAGAACCCGCTAGCTCTAAATTATTAGAATTACAGTTCAAGTTTATAACATTGTGATTTCCTTGATTAAATTGTGTATTGAGCATTAAATACTTTATTATTTGAGCCCCGGTAACGCCCACAAGATTAGTAAACACTAAAGATGACGTCGGTAGTATATGGATAACACGTTATATATTTTATAGTGTTAATAAAATTGCTATTTGCTTATTGTTACTACATTCTCACTTATTTCTGACATCTTAGAAGGTTAACCTTGCGTTCATATTTATTATTTATCCAGTAATATTTAGTATCTCAATCTGGTTTTCCGGTTTTAGGGTTTCCCTTTCTTAAAAAGAATCGACATGAGTTTTATTTAAGCTCAGCAGACTTTTTGAATTTCTTAGACATCTGACGTCACAGTTATTTAAATTTTAAAGTATTATGGGTTTAACATTATTACGTTAAGTCACATACCGTACTACTTACCGTAAGTTACTGTAGTACCTATCATTGGTTATTGGTTCTTCTGAATATAATCAGTTGTAGAAATATTCTAGACGAATAAATAAATTGGTCCTAAAATGTAACAATTTCTAATGATATCTAACGTACATATTAAACTTTTTAAACGAAAATTGGGATCGCTGATCGCGTCCGTCAAGAATGTTGCTAAGTAAGAAATAAAGACAGGTGTTCTAATTGCATTCATTAGAGCAGATTAGACTTCTGTTTTCGAAACGCTGCTCAGTGCTCAGTGTTCACTGTGTGTTGTGTGGCGACGAGTGGAGTCTCATTGAGGGCGCACTTAGAAAGTCTTACGCACTTTTAGATTTAAAAATTTAATTATGATTTCCCAAAAATAAATTCGGAGTTCGAATATTTGCAATAATTTCAAAGGAAAGAATTTCAAAGGATGACGTCGCTGGTATTTTGTTTTTTTCTCTCGGTTTTTATTCGATTCAAATCAGCAGAAAAAACAACTTTTGGTACAGCCTGCTAAAAAAATTTGAAATACCTTTCTGACTGATCTGATTCTTAACAGGACTATATCACGATAAAAGAATTGCTAAATGAATTATGTTAAAGTACAAAATCAGTGTTTGCATCGCGAGCTTGGAGCACATTAGTGGATATTAGCGTGCACTACATCGTATATCAATGAAGTATCGAAAACATAAAGTAATTAATCCCCAGTGCTGGCGTCGCGTGTCAACTGTGGCGATGACCCAGATCCAATGTAATGCAGTAGTGAGTAGTGCGTACAGTCGGCACTCAGTGCCGGTGTAGACTGGAGACCACGGTCCACGCGCCGGACACGCAGCACACAGCACGCTTTTTGTTGCTAATTTATGTAACTATCAAATATACTAATTTAAGCGATAATTCTACATTGAGAGGCGTCGCATTGCTGGACGACGGTCTACGAGGGAAGAACCATAAATGAAGATCCTTTGTTATGAAATAGAACGAAAAAATCTTTATTTTTAACGTGTTCATAAAAAGTCAAGGTCTAGATTATCTAAAAGAAGTGTTAGGTACTTTAGGTACTTTAGCTATGTCAGCTATGTATGTTTGTATATGTGTATTATTATTATTTTCTCACGCTTGAGAATTTCTGGTAGAGATCTCTTAAAGAGATAAGTATCTGTTTTCTATTTTATGTTTTTCTTGGTACATAAATAAATAAAATAAATAAAGGAAATGCTTTAGCCATGAGCAAAATAATTATTTACCTTGGTATTGCAATATTCAATAGTCACTTTTTGTTATCGTACAGTTTTTACTTCGCTTAAAGTAATGCTCTACAAATACATTAGGCTTGACATTTGTTATAATTACTTAGTTACGCTATTATAGATTAGTATAAATAATAAAATGGCGATGAGACATGCGAGTGATCAGTGACACGATCCCACCGCGCGGGATTTAGCTGACCTCTCGTCATCCAATAACAATAGAACTCCTGTGGCGGTCCAACGCTCGACAGTCGCAGCCCGCAACATGCTCTGGACTCTGGAGTGCATTTACTTTATTCTAAATATATATTTTTATTTGAATTCAATTGAGGTCAAGATCGTTCATTTTACTATTTACTCTCACAATTCTAAGATGCATATTTTAAAATATGTGTCAAGGTGGAGGCTGCCGGCGGCCGGCTCCGATGCAGCCAGCGGGTGACATCAGCTGATAGCTAACGCGTTCACATCCGTCCGCCCATTACCTACTCATATTATTGCGCAACTTTTTCATCTTACTGATTTGCATCGAGTTTACAAGTATTTTGTATGCATACTAGTGTTCGCGCAAAGGTCTGCTCGCGAGTTACGTCGATTATATAATAATACTCTCTGCTACTTTCGGATAATTTCCGGATTCCATTCAGTACCTACTATCAGAAAAAATCTCTGACATAGAAACAAACAAATGATTTTATCGCTTAATAATAAATGTGTATATTTTACACGAATCATTTGGAGCCACTTTGCACCTCCTAGTAACTCAAAATCTATTTAACGTAAACTCATGAAGTTTGGTTACATACAAGTTATCTTATATTCGGCTAATTACCTATATCTTAAATAAAACTATCTTTTCGGATTATTTCGCGGATTTATTTTGATTTTTGGTTCCCGACGTTTCGAACGCTTTACAGCATCCATGGTCACGGGAGAGACTCTCCGAAAAGATAGTTTTATTTAAAATGTCAAATATTCGCGTAAATCTAAGAAAGCACTTATATCTTCTTTATGCTATACGCAAGTTACTATTTTTATATTGTAAAGTCAACATGTCTTTCTTCTAAAAACTTACTTTACTGGTAAAAACTAGCCAAGTCAAATCTTGAACTTCAAGTTATCCTAAGTTATCTACTCTGTGTAAATATATCGACTGTTCAGATTTAAGAAGTTCTATTTTTAAATAGCAAACACTTTAGTAACAGAAAAAAAAACAAGAAATTGTGTTTTAAATTTATTTTAGAATGTTATATTTTCTTATTAAGAAAATCAGGATTATCTACAGAACCTGGCACCCATTTAGATCTCAATTCTTTTGTCGGTGAAGTTGACAACCACGCTTATTCTTAATATTGAGCTTGACTCCCATTTTCACATTTATGTTTTTGATGGGATATAGTATAGTTAAAGTTACGGAATATGTTTATTTATGTAAATATATAAAACGTGTTAACTTATTTAGGTATATAATTATTCAAAAATATCCACCGTAACATAAAATACATAATCTAAACTTAACAAAAGGGGTCGAGTAGGTGTAGGTATAAAACTTTCCGTTTTGTTAACTAAGCAGTATTATTTTAATACAAAGTAAACAAAATATAAGCTTTAAAGTTAAAAGGTCAAGAGTGAGTAAATAGAAACAAGCACGTGAATCCTCATAGGTATAATTATAGTTACATGTCGTGTACCTACATACATACATACATATAAAGATTGAAACTATTTACTAATTTTAAATCTTACTGAAGCAGATTACTGTATGACTAGAGCATCTTCAGGACACAAGTTCTGATTGTGAGACTAATGGCCGATTTCACCAACGTCACATAAGTTTAAGGGATCCCCTAAGCATGGTTAGGGGGCTGTTATGGGACAGTTTCTGTTTCACCGACAGTTAGGGGTCACCTAAATGTTTAAATGCCACCTAAATATAGGTATTAGAAATACGGGCTCTGACGATGGTAAAACGAAATTTAATTTAGGGGCTAGTTTAGGGTAATTTTTAAGCTAGGGATCCCATACGTAGGTAGTAGCTTAAGTGATGTTGGTGAAATCGGGCATAAGCCTGTTAAAGTACCTCCTATGTAATATTTTAGACAACTTTAAAACCCCATAAATTATAATTAGATATCATTACATTTGAAATTATCATTTTAAGTGTATTTTAGACATAATGACAAAATTCGAACATATCCCAACTTGTAGCTATAATTGTACAGTGTTTATATGTTTAATACATAAATATTGATATCCGACCTCACGTAATACCTAGCGTTGCAGTGTAGGTACACACCGACAATGCCAGCGTTGATTAAGTTACTGTAAACAATACCTAATGGCTGGAAGAAAACCAATCCAGTCCGCTAAACCGCAAAGACCCCATTGTTCGCGTCGCGGCGCTTCGCCTCTGTCATCATCGATTTATTTTTCCTTCATGGAATAACGCGCACGAGTTGAGTTTGAGAAAAGTTATTTGGTCTTACACGATGCATAACAACGACATCACTTACCCAATGCGTAGTCGTCTAATAAATACATTTTATTAACAATTCAGTTCAATTCAATTTCTTTCGATACAACGGAAAGTGCACGTTAAAAATGATTTCATCTTTACTTACATAGAGGCAGAGTTTGTTTGTTTGTTTGTTTGTTTGAACGCGCAAATCTCAGGATTTGTTTTTTTTTTCAAATCTGATATCAATCGTCAGTCGGCATTAGATAGCCGACTTATTGAGGAAAGCTATAGGCTATCTATCATCATGCTACTTACCCAAGGGAGAGGAGCAGTAATCATAAATGTCAACAGATCGGGCATACTTCCATACATTTTTGTAATACTGATGTTTATAATATGTTTAAGTGTTTTAAGCTCAGAATATACTCATATCATAGTCTATCAGTTCCATATTAATAGTTTAAACATACCTACCAAAGGGCGAATCCGAGAGAAGCGACGGTGAGCTGCTAGTATCAAATATATGTACATCTAATATTTAGATGCAATAGTTGTTCAGTCCTCATAGTAAGAAAATTTTCATAAAAAGTTTTATGCGCCTTCCCGTGAGTAAACCGAAGTTATGAAGAATAGTTATTACCTAGTTATCCTATTTATTAATTTACACCAATAGGTCTAATATTATATAGTAATCTTTTTTTTTTAACGTTGGGAAATGCATTTACGCACGAAGTGTGGGACTCACCGGCAAAGCCAGTACTACCCACTAAAACCCAACAAAACCTTCCCCCGTTTTAATCGGGCGTTGCAGGATCGCTTACGCATTCAACTAAGACGCCCCGACGGCAGGTCTGCCGAGGCAGACCACAACTACCACGGGGTTGCTCCAAGGTCCACTCTGCTATCAGAGAAGTACCAGGAGCAACCCGTATGGTACACCGCCCTCCGAAGAGGGCCACCTCCCACCGCCCACCGAAGTGGGCCACCTCCCTGTGCGTTTCTTGGCTTCGCGCCCGGCTGTATTGCCGGACACTACTGAGCCCCCCCACCACCACAAGGTGAACGCAGGTTGGGGGGGAATTATAGTAATCTAGTACTGCCCATATGATGACAAAATTTTAATCAATTTCTCTATAATATATCTTGTGGAATTTTCCAAATATTTTCGAAATCGGTGCCAGCCCATACAAAGCAAAGCACACCGACTTCGAAAATATTTGATTAGGTATGTATAGTAAATGAAAACTACCAATCAGTTATTTTTTACTTTTTAGTGCTTTTGTTTGAAGTCGGTTTTATTTTTTTCTTAAAAAGTTTTGTAAAATAAAATTAATTATATTATATTCAGTAAAAACATTCAAAGTTGTCAATTTATTTAAAAGCCAATATAGTTTAAAGATTTCTTAACATGAATTAAAATGTAGAAAGTTGAAAAACGTAAACTCTGATGATGGAGATTGACACTGCAATGACGCAGTGTTGTTAATCCATAACTTTGATCGATGCACTGGCGGCCACATCCGAAGACACAGCACACCCCCTGCGCTCACTCCCCCTTCCCCCTTCTTGTATCTCTGAGTTCGACACTCAAGCTGTCGGCCCGGTTTTGGTATGACGGAATGCGACACTGCAGCTTTCTTAAGTGGTCTTCATAAATTATTCGACAAAAGCGAAGCGGCTACTTTATGCCCTAGCCAATTTTGCTTAAGCTTTTGTACGAATGTGTTTTAGGTATATATTTTCATTGACGTTGTTTTTATTTCATTATTTTTATTATATTTTAAGATATTAGATAAAAATTGTATTAGGTATTACAATTTTTATGATTTCAAATTTTATTCATTTCCGGTTTGGAAAATATAAGCATTGCTATTTTGACCGACTTCAAAAGTAAAGTAGGTACTCGATTCGACATTCGTGATTCTTTTTTAATGATACCTAAAGGGGCCTAACTTATAAATTACTTTTTAAGTGATTTTGAAGCCGGTGTTGGTAACTTGTTACGCCACAAGTTAGCTACCGAGGGACTGTTTTGAGGAGTAACAATCAGGCAGTCACCATTTAAACATAAAATTTAAACCAATTTTGACGTGAGTAAATGTCGTGTGTGATAACTGATAAGAGACGCGTGGGCGGGCGGCCGCAGGCGGGCGGCAGCGGGCGGGCGGCGCGGCGCGATAGCGTGCAACAAGTGGCAAACGTTATTGATTTGGAAAATGGACTATTTCCAACGCTGACATGGACTTTTTAATTATTACAGTTATTTAGTGATACTTGCTAACTTTATCAACAAATGGTTTTGATCATGAGTTAGTTAAAAAAAAAAAACTTGTTTCAATGCTTATTATTTTATAAACTTTTAACTTAACCCTTGTAGTATAGTGAATATTTAGCCTCGTCAATCTTTAATTAATTTTAATTTATTACTATTATTCATAAATATAAAATTTCGTGATATACCTGTTAATTTAATTTATTTCTCAAAAACTACCGCCGAGTACAATCGGATCTCATACTTATATTATGTCATATATAAATAATAAACCTAGTGTGGTTTTATTATTTCATAAAGATTACGTCAATTAGATTTAAGAACTTAAAAGTCAGTTGCTTTTAAGCAAAATAAAAAGTGTGCTGCAAAAGACAAAAGTGCATAAGCGATATTCATGATAAATCAAGTGTTTGTCAGCTTCAGAGTGTATGTATATAGCTATTCATTATGTACCATGTACGGTATTGTTATCGGGGAAATGAGTTTAGAGGCAGCACTTACGACGGGCAGTGTGCCAGCCGCCCGCCGCCCGCCGCTCGCCGCCCGCCGCCGAGCATCGTTGCGATGATTTTTGTTAGAACATCTACTAACAATTTGTATCTGGCAAAAGCTTCCCATTGACCTTGTATTAACGTTTCTTTATGACTTTGTTTTGTTTTGTACTTACTGAAAATAGTTTGAATTTTGTAGAAGTAGAATCGTTGCCATACATTTACATTGACTTCAGCGAATTTATTTAGTATAGAAAAGAACCCTTTTAAAAGGAATCTCAGCTCAGTTTCGAAAAAAAGAATAATACACCTCAGATTCGTAAATCGTACCCCATTTTGTTATCGCTATCCTTGGCCGTGCGATGAGAACAAAGAGCAATGTGTGTATATGGGCACTCGGCGCTCTGAGCGTGCATTGTGCTCGGTGCACGTGCAGGGAGAGGGACGGACGTGACGAAGTGACCGATCAAGCACACTCTCTTACTCTCCTCCTTTATCCGCTAGTTTCATACTAATTAACAGATACACAATGGTCATAATATTACATTTAGAATTTTTATTTGATTTGTAATATTATTAATCAACAATCAAATGGAAACTACTATCTACTGTAAAACATTGTTTCCATTTACATATTTTACTGTCATAATTATAATTGAAAGTAAAAATATCATATTATTTATCGTTCCTCTTAGTCGCGGATACAATTAAATGTTAATTGTAGCACTTATTATGAAAACAATTTGCGTGCGTGTGCAAAGTTAATAAATACTTATACCTATAGTACTTACAATATAATACATTTTGTATATAAACCTTTTTATTGACTTAATTATTAATTGTCAACTGACTGATGGAAATTATTTTGCAAGCAAGTGCTTAATGAATTGTAAGTTCAAACATATTATAAATAACTAGCAATTTACCCTTGTCTCGTTCGACTTTCGAGTCCCTACACCCCTATTTTAGAAAGATTATTTTCAATATTAGTCACTGTAACTTTAAAAACAACGATTTTTTCCTACAAGGAGTATGCCTGCCTGAGCTTTTAAAGTTTGTAGCGTTTATATTTTCGGATATTTCGTGATCAATCAATGAGTAGTATTTCGCTTTATACTAGTTCCCGCACGCGGCTGTGCGCGGTGCCTGTTTCTAGTTTTTGCTAACTATATTTTTGTATCTCCTGATCGAGGTAAGATACATTAGCAAATTGCAACAAATGACGCCGCGGCGATGCGCGCAGCATTCTAGGGCTGTCGCATGGTGTCGTTGGATATAAAATAAAGGGTCCTTTTATGTATCCTGTTTGTATTGTATATTCAGTACAACAATCAAAGTCCAAGTGTAAAGAAAACTGAGAAAATCTTTTAATATTGGACATCAAAGTTTGCATTTGTAAACTTTTTTTTAATCAACAAGTTCTGATATAAAAAAATGACAGACTGACTTTTCTTATAAGTGTAATATTTTTCTGATACCAAAAACAATATACATTTGTTAAATGTAAAATAAAATTTAATTCTGTATAACTTTAAAGATCTGGCGGTATAAAAAATAGGTAATGAGGCTCTACCGGCAGCCCTACTTTTATTGTAATCTTTTGGGGATTCTTCACTTTGACGGCTTCAACAATCAAATAATAGAAATCGTTTACAACTAAATCACGATATCACTTACAACTAATTTTATTACACGCGTCGTTAATTCGTCACCTCGCCCGACGCCGCCCGACGCCGCCCGACGCCGCCCGACGCCGCCCAGCCGGCAGCCGCCCAATACTACAGTGTGAACTGTAAATATGTCAATAGCCGATTTATAAAAATTAATCCTAAATACTTTTTTTACCAATATTTTTGCCCGCTGCATATACATATTTTAACTATTATTAAAATATCTGTATATGGTCTGTGATTACAAAATAACCGGCGCGAGGTTCTAACTATAACACCTTTTTTTATTTAATTTTTTTTTATGAACTATGTGCGAGACTCGGGAAAATGAATCAAACTCGAAAGTTTACTAGTAACCAAGAAGACCCGAAAGACCTTGGCTTCATCAACAGATCAGCTCGATGGTCCAAAACCAAATGCTATTATTGTAAAATCAAATTATATATTGTATGTATTATATAGCCATAGCCGTTGTTAACATGGGACACCTACTTTCAAAATTATAGCTATAGGGTATTTTTTTTATTTTTTTGTATTTAATCATTTATTTCAGGCAATATTTACATAGGGATCTTAAATATGTAAACAGAGGCCCATAGCATATATACCTTAAAACTAACATATATATTAATTATAAAAAACTTAAAAACTATTTAACACGAATTTTAATTCGAAGTGTCTCCGACCTAAAGTAATAGAAAACTAAAATGGAGAAAAAAAAACATTATTCCTTTTTAACAGTGCAATTAACATAATGAGTTTGATTAATTAAACATTTTTATTGTACGATAACATGTGATGTGTATTTTAAATTTTTCATTAAAATATTGATCATTGTTTAAAAACCAGCAATGATGTGTTTTTATAACTTATCTATTGTAAAATCAAAAAGAATAAGTCAAAGTATCAAGTAAACTTTGTTAGTTAAAAAAAATCCGAACATTAAACGTTATTTTAAAGCAGTTTCATGTCACTTATATATAGATTTGTTTAATAACAAGTAAATGTGTACCGTTGAGTACAGAGTAGTGCAGTGTAGTGCGTTCCGCGAGTATTCGAGTGCTTGTACTCTATAGGTAGGAATGTGAGTCGTAAAGTCCGAGGAGGGGTCGACGACCGCCGCTCCTCGCAGCTGATCGCCAGCCCCGCGCAGTAGCGCGCCGCAGCCGCCAGCCGCCATGAGGCCGTCTCTTCTCAGACCTATAAGATACACGTAGTGTTTAGTGTAAAGTATGCGGTACGTGTTACTTTACAAGTTCATCCCAGAGATGCAAATGTATTAAAATGTCACATTTTCAACCGACTTCCTCAAAAAAAAAAGGAGGTTCTCAATTCGGCTGTATGTTTTTTTTTATGTTTGTTACCTCTGAACTCCGTCATTTATTAACCGATTTGGACAATTTTTGTTTTGTTTGAAAGTGTATACTTCCAGATTGGTCCCAGTTAAATTTCAAAAAAAAAAAACCACCCTTAGGGGTGGAAAAATAGCCAATAATGAATTTAACCTACTTCTAATTGTCATATTGACTTGAAACTTTGCAAGTGTTACTATTTCCGTTGATAGTGCATTGGTTTGATATCGTTGACCTGATCTGATAGTAAGGCCAGAAGGTGGATAGGTGGAACTCTTCAACGGCTAATAGTAGATACTTTAAGTTTGGGCTTATTTTGTTTGATTTGACAAGCCTAACACGTTAGAATCGGATTTTAGAGCCAGAATTTTTAGTATTACATATAAAAGCGAATTTTTGTTTGTAAGTCTTCGTATAAAAATTGGCATCATAGTAACTTAAAACAGTTTAAGCGAATATTTTATTTAAATACTTTCTTCTTACTTTGCTGCTACTACGTCTACACTAAAAAGGGAAAAATAAAAACTTTTTAACAAAAAAATAAAACCGACTTCAAAAAAGCACTAAAAAGTCAAAAATAACTGATTGGTAGTTTTCATTTACGTATGACACATTATATAACATTACAACAACAACATAAGAATTCATTTAGGTATGTATAATACCTAATCAAATATTTTCGACTCGGTGCCAGCCGATACAAAGCAAAGCACACCGAGTCACCGACTTCGAAAATACATATTTGATTATGTACTCGTATAGTAAATGAAAACTACCAATCAGTTATTTTCTACTTTTTAGTGCTTTTTTGAAGTCGATTTTTATTTTTTTGTTAAAAAGTTTATATCGTACATATGAACGTAAAACACGTTTTATTTTAGCGCACACGTTTCTCGTTTCTACTTTATTTACGCATTAACATCTTTCTCAATTTTAAAGAACTATTCAGAGATAAACTATAACATATTCTCTCTCTTCCTACCAACACCATATACATATAGCTCCAATAGTCTTCGAGTAAAACGATTGCGACAAACGAACAGACGGTAAGGTAAAATTATAAGTAACACTTCCGTTTATACCCTTTGACTACGGAACTTAAAACATCATATTTTAGTCCATTGTTAAATTTAAAGAAATAATACCATTGTATGATTTTATATTATATAGGTAGTAGTTATTTAGCTTTTGAAACTGCGAGTTAAAAAGTTTTATTGTAAAGCGATAATACTACGTAGTTGAAAAGATAGGATGATACTTCTTTTTATTTGAAAGCTATTAAACTATAAAAATATAATTTTACAAAAACTGAAACACGTAACGAGGAAGCAGCGATGAGGCGCTAGAATATTTTGTGTCCAGCAAAATTATGTTTTACGGTTTTTTTTATGAAAAATTCCATTTTTAGTTTTTAGTTCTTGTGGGGTTTGTCTTTATTATTATTTATTATCTACTTCTTTATTGCCACTCTAAAACAATCTATTGCGATAACGAAATAATCTTCGTTTAAATATAGTTATAATATATGACGATAAAATACTATTACGAAAATTCTAATCCATGTAGTTTATGTTGATGATAGGAAGATCTAAGCATGACTACGATTGATCGGTAATGTCCTCCTGACCGATGTCTGCCGCGGCGCGGCTGAGAATGTAAACACTCTTTAGACTTAATTCTTTTTACTCTCAAAGTCCGATGGGACGATACTTCGACGCGACCGATGAGAGTTAAGGCACAGAACCGACGGCTTTAAGTGCTCTCCGAGGCACGGGGGTGCAACACCAAGTCAGCCAACCAGCCAACTTCCTAACTCCGTGCTACTACTGAGAATATCTTTAAGGAAAAACTCAGTTATTGAACTTTGCCCGACCCGGAACTCAAACCCAGGACCTCCGGAACTGCAGCCGTACATGCTACCACACCACCGAAGTATAAAATCAGCACGTTTCGTATAAAATCAACGTTTGTATGTTTACCTTTATCTAATTATAACGTCAGACTTTGAACAGGTCGGTAGTGAGCTACACGAGGAGCAAGTCTCATGCTTTGTTTACCGCCATGATCTACGGTATGCCATTACCTTGACCCTCGCGTTGGGTTCTGACAATACGTCATGATAATTTGCAAATAAACAACTAGTTATCTGTTTCGAATATGTTAAATCGCGGCTGTTTTTTCTTAAGTATTATTATGTAAATCTCCATCATTTTGCAGGTCTCACACTCCGATAAAGAAAGATCATCTTTCTTTATTCAAATTATAATAGTAAATAAAATTGGTTCATAAAGGTCGGTGAATATTCTATTATATTGAAAAGTAAATAAAATTCGTGTCCAATTACAAAACTCCTTTTTTCTTGGAAGAATCAGATACAAACATTGTCGGAGTGTAAATTGAATCTGTGCAACTAATTTTTATTATGAACGCACGAATGACGAATGTAAAGTCCACTAATCTCGGAAGCAAAAAATCTAATTGCTAAAAGATTTTACCTACAACAGATATTTCCGTTAAATATCATGGTAAAAAGCGCTGCGTCATTGTTGTCAGAAAACTATGGGTATGTGTTTAACGTTTTGGGAATTCAACGCTTATTATGAAAACAAACGTTTATGTTTGAGATTTAATTAGCTGTTGTTGATGCGCTCCGAGAGTTAAGTGGAGAGGGTGCGGAGACGGTCCGCGGACCGCGAGCCGACGGAGGCTGCGTGGGCTCTCCACGCAGTGGCAGTGGCTCGCCGCGCGACCTGTGGATTCAGAGAAACAAACATAACGTTGAAAGGTATTGTGTAACTGTGGTTTCTTTGAATTCAATAGGTGGTCTGTAAACAACGTGACTATAAGCACGTCATTTTTATGGATGATGCAAGTTTTATTCTTATATTTTTATTATTATATTTAACCTTTAAATATACAATAAGTAATATGTTTCACTTACATGTTCGTCCTTTTATTTAGTGCTTTTAGAATATTGTATAAGTGGATAGCCCTGACCGACGCGACACGGTTATAGACAAATGACTACTAACTACTAGTTGCAAAGTGCAAATAAATTTAGTTCTCAATGGAGTCGGGGTCCTAATACTTTTATTATGCCAGTTGTTTGTCCTTCAGTACTCCTGAAGTGCCCTACCATTAAATTATTATATCTGAGTCGTAATAGATACGCAGTCGTAATAGATAGATAGATAAATTATAAAAAAAACATTAGGACGTATGTACCTCTATCTAATATGCCTACATACAAGCGTCTGGGTGCGTTACACTTACTGAAAATAAAACCACCAAGACCAAGGCGAATCGAATCGAATTTGCACTCCTCCTTTATCGGTAAATAGTAAAAAGGTAATATAAAAAATATATTTTATGTCAGTAACCAACATTGGTTGCAATTCCGAATCGCACATGACCGATTTCTATTAATTTTACATTTACAATAACGAACTACATATAGTGCTTGGAAAACATCGATGTAATGGACGCAGAACACATAAATTATAACACTTGTAACTACTAAAGTAACTGCTTTTAAAACGAGTATGAATATCTATTGATAAACATGTTTTAAGGATTTTAAATTGTCTTGAAGTCGCTGCGGACAGAAAATAAAATACTCAATGCCAAACTATTCCAATAATACTTAATACAAAGTCACGGAGTCCATTGTAGTTATTTCATCAGAAATCCGCAGAACGTTTTGCGGTTTACATAAAAACTTATATCTAACGTTTATGTTACTACTACGCTTAGTGTATTAATTATAGTTTAGTTAGTTATATGTAGTTTAAGATTTACCTTTCTTTATATTTAACAATCTGACTGATGTATTAAAAAAAACCTAATGTGCTAAAGCCGCACTTACACTGATATAAATACTCTTGTTATTAACGATTTGCAAAAAAAAAAATTAAAGCAGGGTATAAAATTATCAAGATAAATATATCTTTGATAATTATCGCGATAATTATCAGATAATTATTCGATAATTATCAAACAGATATAAACTTAGCAATCCTTGTGTAGGTATTGGTATTTGACTACTTGCCTATCATAATTTACGTTAGAATAAATTAAACACTTTTAAGAATCAAGGTAATCTTTTATTATTATTTTTTTCATAATTTTGACACACAAACATGGAATTTTAAAGTTATATATCCACTGGTCTAAATCACGTGAGCGCTGTAGAGGTTCATATATTATGTGTTTAATATAAGAATTGTAATAGTATTTTTCCTTAACAATTATAAAATAATTATGCCGAGTAAATACTTCTGTATGATTTTTAAAATAGTTCATATATAAGTATGTACATAAGTAATGATCGATGCATGGCAAGAGCCGATTAGGTAATTGACCTGCAGTCGACAAACAATGGGATTAAGAATAATTTTCCACATTAACATTTGTAATTAGTTGAATGGCAGGAGGTGGAAGCTCGAACGCATCACTAATCAGTACAAATCGTGCCGAACAAACAAACAATTCATTTATATCTTATCATACTATCTATACTTCGAAATAAATTGAGTCAAAGAAATAATACGAATCACACGAGTATTATATAGAAATATTTCAAGACGGAAAAGACGAATGTACACGGGATACTAATAGAAGAATGCTTAGTCCATTTCACCGGGCTTTTCTCCGTCATCGCTGGCGGGCACATACTGAGAACCGAAGCGAGTTTTATATATAACCTATACTTCTAAAGTTGAAAAGTATGTTTGTTGTTGAAAGGTGTCTTACATCATATATGTTTTAAGTTCCTCAAGTAACTCTCAGGTTAACTCACCGATCCACTTCTTATTATACTTCACTACACTGTGCATTCTTTAATTATCGCTATGGAATTAGCCGATACCTTGAAAGCACGTCGCTGTAATGTACAGAAGCATTGTGCGCAGACAACGATGAAAGGCACTTCGTTGCGAAGAACATATTATATATTCGTATGATAAAACATAGGCCGCCGCTTTGTGACTGCGACCGTGAGTGGTGGCCACGTCAAGGGGCACCTTTAGTTCGGGAATGATGTCAGAATGACTTGTATGTAGGTTATCTTGAAACACTGGCTCAGAGCGGCGGTTGTTAGCTCACTGCTGCTGCATACCGATGTATTCTGTAACTTGGTGTGTGCATCTTAATCTCTAGTGCTGCGTCATTATCATTTTAGAATTGCGTCATTAATGGTTTAGTCGGTCTGAACAATACCCATCCTTTTGTGTTTTTATTGAACGTTATGTTTTGCTGACGAGTAAAATTTAATAACTTTTCCTTATTTCAAAATTAATTGCCAGGAATGATTTAATTTTTGTTTTCCCTGTATTTTCTATTATTAATCTACAGCAAGTTGTTTTAATTACATTGTGGTTGACAACTAATTCAGCCAAGGGCGAGTCGGTCATTAGCGACAGGCAATCCAATCGGTCGTAAACCCAGGAGAACACTGGGAGGTGGACGGTGTACCACGCGGATTGTTCCTGGTACTTTTCTGATAGTGGAGTGGACCTTGGAAGCTATCCCTTGGTCAATGTGGTCTCATTCAGCAGGCCTACCGTCGGGGCGTCGTGGTTGAGTGTGTAAGCGATCCCTACTAAGCGACGCCCCATTAAAACTGGGGAGATTCTGTTGGGTACTGGCGTTTATACCTGGCGAGTCCTATATAGCCACATGTATACTCGTGGTATGCAAAAATTCACTTTCCAACATAATAAAGTATAGTGTATCAATTTAGATAAGTTTATAGTTTATTCACGGTGGAATGCATCTGAGAGTGAGAAGTGTAAATGTTTCTTCGAAGTTATAAAACATAATATAAAATATATAGCAGTTCTAGATTTGACTTGGACAGTTTTTACATACAAGTTATCTTATATTCGGCTAATCACTTATATCTTCTTTATGCTATACATAACTTAATCAATATGTAAATAAATAAATATGTTGGGACACACACATCACCATCTAGTTCCATGGTAAGCTACGAGGCCTGTGTTATGGATACCAGATAGTTGATATACTACACATATATAACTTTATATACATACATATTATAAATATAAACACCCATGAGTGGAGTGCAAACATTCGTGCTCATCACACAAATGGATGCCCCCAGCGGGCCTCGAACCCGCGACCGCTGGCATAGCAAGTAGGGTCACTACAAACTGAGCCAAACGTGTAGTCAAATAACAAAAGTTAATTTTTTATATTGTAAAGTCAACATGTCTCACTATTCTAAAAACCAAATATCACTATTCTTATATTTAATACATTAGTTCGAAATTTATTGGAATACTGTAGTACAGCATGGAGCCCATCCTATCAAATTCACGTAAATAGATTAGAATGTGTCCAAAAAAGATTTTTATATCACGTATCCTACACAGACAACAAATGTCATGAATTAAATTCTTATATACAAAGACTATGTCATTACAAAGTTATTTCTCTATCTACCCGTAGGAAAATACTTGATATAATTTTTTTGTACAAGCTAATTCATGGGTATATTGACTCACCTGATCTTTTACAACGACTGAACTTTTGTATACCACGTCCTAGTAGTCGTCTACAAAATCGTAAGACATTTTGTCTTCCCAACGCGAGAACTAATGTAATAAGCCACTCGCCATTATTCCGCATGTGTTCAGCGTATGATACTATTCGTTTTAAATTAGATATTTTTAATAATACCTCTATAGCCTATTTACGTAAAAAATTAAAGCAAATTGTTTAGTTTAATAGCTGTAATTCATATATTTTTTTTTAAGATTTTTCTTTATTGTTAGTAGATAAAAGCCGTTCCTCATTGTTACCGTAGTTTAAATCTTGTTTTTTGTAATATTAAGTTTTGTTATATATGCATGCTGTGTCTGCATCTAGAAAAATGCAATCTTGTGCATTAATTTTGCAAGCTATTCTTATTTTATATGTATTTGATTGTCATTTGTTTTGTGGACCACTAAACATAAATAAATAAATAAATAAATAAATAAACTTGCTTTACTGGTGAAAACTAGCCAAGCCAAATCTTGAACTTCAATTTATCTTAAGTTATCTATTCTCTGTAAATAATTCGACTGTTAAATTTAACAAGTTCTACTTTTAAATAGCAAACAGTTTTGAAGCAGAATAAAACAAGAAATTGTGTTTTAAATTTATTTTAGAATGTTGTATGTTCTTATTAAAAAAAATCAGGATTATCTGCAGAACTTGGCACGATTTAGATCTCAATTCTTTTGTCGGTGAAGTTGACAACCACGCTTATTCTTAATATTGAACGTGGCTCCCATTTTCACATTTATGTAAAAACATAATCAAAAGATGGGATTTGATTTTTTTTTATTCATTTTGTTAATTGGTGTGTAGGCTGTCTGTAACAACTATATAATGTCAATAGCTGCGTGTGTACGTTTGTCTCCGACTGCATAATACTATGTTGTTCTCATCTTTTAGTTCACTTTTTACGCAGTCCGGTTTTTTACTTTTGTAAATAATTGCCGATTTTTGTTAAAGTTAATATATTTTCTGACAGTAAATACATTTTTATCGAAATAAAAAGTAGTATTCGTCGACGGTAATGTAGCTTCATACGAGTATAAATCCAAACTTACCTCATTATAGTATTTATGTAGATGACATATATATGTATGTAGTATTGCGGGTATTGTAAGTGTATGTCTGTTGGCTGGTGTAGATGTACAGCGGAGCGCTGCTGGCGACGGCGGCGCGGCTGGCGTGGGACCCCAGCACGTACACGTGGTTCCGCTTCCTGTGCGCCGCGCAGTACCGCGTGTCGGCCGCCTACGTGCTGGCCGCCGGCCTGTGGCTGGCCGCGCTCGTCTACATCGCCGCTGCCGCCGCGCACCGGCCCGCCAGGACCTGTCTGCACATCGTAAGTACCTACTGCCCCATTACCCCACTGCCTCACTGCCCGACCCTAATTGGGACTTCCCTGCTGCCATCCCCGTTGCCCTTACGGGACGTAGCGGAATAAAAATGTAGTAAATGTCATTCTCATAAATTGTCTTCATATCCTATATACTTACATATACTTCGCATCCACCAGAACGAAGGACAAACCAAGAAACACATTTATGCAATTATTAAAAAGTAGAAAGCATTTAAATGTTTAATTCATAGCGACAACAGTTTCAATTCGGGAGTCGAAATCACTACTTCCTCTCCTCAGCAGGTACCTACACACTACACAGTAAACACTAGATAATTCCAGATACACTCATGACATGATACACTGTGACCCAAAAATTGAGTGGCAATAAAATGATAAAAGAGCAACAAACTATGTCTCTATATTGGAGATAATAATATTATGTACGAACTAGGTCCCTAGTGTGTAGTGAGTAGTGGCCCCTACTAATCAACGATTTATGGATAATATTGACTTATTGTTTGTATAATTAATATATGTACTTTATAGCCGGTGTATTAATTTCATTACAATTATGGGATTAGCGTGTATAAATGTATGTATTTTATTTTGAAAATTAATTGTTACTTATTATTGTTTAATCTATACTAATATTATATAGAGGTAAAGTTTGTGATATTGTGGGTTTGCGAGTTTGTCAAGTTGTAGGGGGTAATCTCTGGATGTACCGAACCGATTTTCAAAGTTCTTTTACCAATAGAAAGCCACGTTCTTTCTGAGTGTCATAGGCTATATATTAACCCGAAGAATAAATAGACTTTTTCATGGTAGTCGGATTTGCAAAGTAAGTCGGAGAAAAAACGGTCGAACGAAAACGTTTCTTACGAACGCTGCCTTAACGATGAGAGATATATGATTACGTTCTAAAGAAAAGTTGTAGAGCTTAATAATGCCTACAAAAAGGTCAGCGACAGCATATGTCTAACTTTTATATTTAAGTCACAAAAAGTAGTTTTTTTATATTAAAAAATAATTTAAATCGCTAGGTCATGTTTATTGGTCATATTATCAACAATTCTGAATTCTTATCAAAATAAGTAAATTTATCGTCTAAAATGTTTAAAACAAAAGATTTTTGCCGTGTCGTAATCTATTGACTGATATTTCTATAAGATGGTTTTTTTTCATATACAATACTAATAATAATATTATAAAGAGGTAAAGTTTATGAGTGTGTGAAGTGTGAGTTTGTGACGTTGTAGGGTTTAATCTCTGGATCTACTAAACCGATTTAGATGAAATTTGGTAAGAACATAGTTTGAGACCCTGGGAAGGACATAGGATAAATTTATCCCGGAATCTATATTATTATTATCATGTATTTTTATATTTTTATCCAAATATTTATATATTTTTTATCTCGGAGTCATCCCTTAAGGGGATGAAAATGGGGATAAATGTTTGTATGGGGAAGCAGGTTAGGGAGGAACCCGAGCGAAGCGAGGGTGAGTCGCTAGTTTATTATATATTTTTATTATATAACAACATTTACCGATATGAATGCGTAGTGCACTTTATTTTAAAAGAGATGCCTCATACACTTTTATAAGAGAATAAATAAAAATGCTTTCAACGGTATCAATGTAGGAAATTTCCACTTTTTTATTGTATCTGGTCGCTGCGAGCGTCTTCTCCGACGATGGGCGCAAAAAGTAATCACGTTTCATTAAAATCGTTTGCCGCGGACGCGCTTGTCCCGACCTGACGCGGCGGTAAGTGCTGACTCACGTAAAAAGCTGCTTCTAAATTACATTTTGTACATCGTGCAGGGTATCAATAAAGAATAATGTCAAACCTAAAGTTGACCTAGACTTGAATTGTACCTACGTACGTGTACCTATAGGATAGACTATAGTATATAATACTAGCATTGCCCGCGGCTCCGCTCGCGTTCAGATGACCAAAAACCAAATTCTTGGGTTATAAATTTTCTTAGGTTTCTACGGTTATAAATTTATAGTAAACATATTAGTATACTCTTACAATGCAGTTTTTGTATTTTTTCTCAGAAATAAGATATTTTCCCGCGGTAAAAAGTATCCTATATGTTGTCCCGGATAACCAGCTATCATCATACCAAATTTCATCAAAATCTGTCCAGTGGTTTTCTTGTGATGTGGTAACAGACAGACAGACAGAAAAAAATTCTAAAAACTATAGATTTGGACTCTGTATCGATAATAATGTCTATTTCAATTAGATTTTTCAAAAAATATTTAAGGTATAGATTCGACTAAGTTACAATTTTATTATATGTATAGATATAGATTCAGTGTAGGTATTTAGAATATAGATATAATATAATCGGTTTGTATTCCATACGATAATGTCATACCGACCATAGTCGTCAGAACTTCACTAGGAATCAATGACTGTTCGCATGAAGCAGTCCCCGTTGTCGTCCTAATTTGCTTCTGCACCACCGTGTAAAGCACACACGTAGGTTTCGTAGAAATTATAAAGATATCTCCTTAGGATATATACTCGTATGTATAATACTATTATAATATGTAGATATTAGATCCAGACTCGTAGCAAAGAATTCATTCAAAAGATCTAAACATTCTTCATTGTTTTTACTTTTTATCCTTCTTAGGTTTACGACTGCGTTATTAAAGTTTCATAACTTACGGTTTTGTGTTTAGGTATTTTATCTAGGTTAGTACGCACTAAAGAAAATCACCGGATACAACTAACACCATACAGAATGTTAACCGACTACCTCAAAGCCTTACTTGGTTACTTGGAAGGGTTAGGTATTTAGTTTTTCTAACTAGTTTACTTTTCTTTGTAGGTATGTATCTTTGTATGTGATGTACGTTCCACATTAGCGCTTCATCTGCTCATCCGATTTTGATGAATGAGGCGTCAATCAGTTCGTTATAATTAGTATATATTGACAAAACAAGGTGTGTGTGGTTGGTTGCAGTACGCAGCGGGGGTAGTGTGCCTGGCGCTGAGCGAGGTGGCGTACGGTGCGTGGATGGTGGCGTCGCTGCTGGCGTGGTGGCGGAGCGCGCCGCAGGCCGAGCTGGCGCGCCGCGGGATGGACTTGCTGCACGACCTCAAACCCGCGCTGCTGGCCGTCGAGCGCTACCGCGACGTGGCCCGGCCGCTGTACGACATGATAGAGGTACTACTTCATTACGCATTCTACCCGGTGGTTATATGGTGCCTCATCGCTAAAAAAGCCAGCGTTATCACTTACGCACTCCAACACGACGCGCCAGCGCGGCGGCAGTCCTACTGAGGCAGGCCTCTTCCCGCGTACTAGATAAGAACCAGGGTGCTTTCGCGGTCGACTTTGCTAAGAGTTACCACCTCTTATGTTAAGGCTCCGCTAGCCTCGCAACCAGACTAGCCTGTCTAGTGTCGCAACACGCAGGTGTATGGAAATTTCATTTTATTTTAAAATTCCATTATTTCTCAGCCTGAAGTTTAATTACAAAATATGAAAACTACTGTTTGAAACCATAAAACAATATTAATTATTCTTATAATGTCCGCATATAAGACCTTGCGTCGTCCAGCGTTCTGCTTGTACTCTTGAAACCTGTATAATGTCAACTATTGGTACATGTTAACATGAGTGATGGTAAGTGACCGTGCCATTATTCCTTATAGCTTATGGCGTTGATATGCTGCTTAACTGCCTCGGTGGTGTAGTGGCTAGCATGTACGGCTGCACACCTATAGGTCCTGGGTTCGAGTCCCGGGTCGGATCAAGTTTAATTATTGAGTCTTTCTGTATAGTAAGCCTCAGTAATAGCCCGGAGTTGGGAAGTTGGCGGTGTTTCATTCCCGTGCCTCGGAGAGCACTTGAAGCCGTCGGCCCTGCGCCTTAACTCTCACTGGTCGTGTCGAGTAGTCGTCCCACCGGAGTATGAGAATGACAGGAATAGAGAGTGCACGTTGTGTCTGCGCGTACACTTGTGCACTATAATATCTCCTGCGCAGTTGGCTAGTCTCAATGTGATTGGCCGCCGTGGCCGGAATCGGTCTGGAGAACATCATCATTATCATCATCATCATAGCGCTGCTAGTATAACGTCGATGTTGCTACAGATAACATAAGGTACCTTTACTAGTACAGATGTCCTATCCCATACGAAGAAATTAGATAGCGTTAATTTGGAATTCTTCGCGATATTTTTGTTAGCTTGAATAGATAACAGATGTCGTTGCTCCATACACTGTTGTTATTTTGTAAATAAGCACTAAAAATTATTAGATATTGTTAAAGTTAAGTTTACGAGCGCATTTTTTTTTTACATAGACTATTTTTTTAAACTATAATATATGTCAATAACTAATCGCTACATATGTATAATGCCATCTATTAATATATATTTGAACTTATTTTAATTTGTCCTGATGATACCTGATTATGACGTGATATTACTTTCATATGCGTGTTATTAGTGACATCAATGTGTTCAAGCTCTTGATGACGGCACGTCGGTCACGGCACGTCGGTCACGGCAGGCCGAATGTGGGCGTTCCTCTATTGACATTTATTAAATGAATTCGATCTCAGGACATCTATTGATCACCACAATTGGTTCAATTGGCGAACACAATGCAACAAGTAGCAACGACTCGTCGGAACTCGGGATAAATCGATTTCTACTAAAGGACACGTACTTAGGGATACGGTACGAGTACATATTATACTTGTTTTTATCTGACTACTATTGTAAATGTGACACACATACATACCTACATATGTACAAACCCTGAAAATTACTATATATGTAAACGCCGTGAGTTATGTTTGTTACTTTTTCATACAGAAACTCATACCTATTGAGATTCTACTGTTTATTACTGTTGTCCAGGAGGTGGAGCGCGAGGCGCCTAACAATGTATACGTGATCATCGTGTTCGGTGCCTTCGGCATGGTGCTGCAGGTGGGACTTTGTTTTATATATTTTTTACTTTGCTAATTATTCAAACTATTTATTATACCATGTTAGTTCAATTATACTATGTAATAAAGGTTGATTTGATTTCCATGTTGAAAAACTCCAATAGAATCCCATCAAAAGCGACAAAAGCCACAAAGAAACCAATAAATATAATAAAATGTATTGGTTTCTATGTGGCTTTTGTCGCTTTTGATGGGATCCTGTTGGAGTTTTTAAATAGGGTTATAGCACTACTTTTAGGGAATTTCTTAATTAATTCTATATAAATGGCTATTTAGTATTAGAAAATAGAAGAGAAATCGATGGTAATCAAATAACAGTAGACACAGCTATTGTTTTTTTTAATTAGTTTGCTTTTAACACATAGTGACATTGAGTCGCTAGTATTGCATAATTGTATATATTTTTTGCTATGAACTATTACAAAATGTCTATTTTAAAATAAATGTAGTTACAATTAATTAATTTTAATACTGTTGACTGTACGCAAACTTTGAGCTTTAGTATAGAGTGATCGAATGAATCAAATTGACCGAAACAGTATCCGGTCCCATACAACTGATGGATTGTTACTATTTAAAGGATGGTTACAAATTAAAATAATCCTGGATACAAATTGACTCGCAGGCATGGGTCTAAAGTATTTAGGATTGGGGTCAGAGACTGAAGTATCTCGGAAACTGGACATCAAATATATTTAAAAGTATAAATAATAAAAATATGGTTTCTTAGGATACTTGAAAAATAATAGGAAAAATAAATTGCAAGAATTATCTAATTGATATCTGTTAGTGAACAATACAAACCCAATTCCAACTAGAGAAGCCAAACTCAAAGCCATTCAAGTTAATATTTATATTACACATCTTTAAATTACTTTTAATACTAGATGGCGTTAAGTGTAGTCTAAATCGCGCTATGGTTTGGTTCTCTCTAAAAGTATATGTTAAATTATAAACAAATAATAAACCCCCTGTTAAAAGCCCGCTCTTCTTGTCGAAGTTAAATTAAAGCCTATCTTACCAGCAGTACATTAGTTTTGGTAGTTTTATTTATAATCATAAAGTTCACCTTAGTGCAAGGCTACCAACTAAACTGATTAAACAGTAGTCGAGGACTAATAAATAAATCCCAATTCCAGATAGCAGCATTCGTGATGGCCCGGCGCCTGGCGCGCCGCGGGGCGGAGGCGCCGGCGCGCGCGCGCGAGGCCGCGCCCTGCACCTGCGCCTGCGACAAGCGCGACGACGACAGCGACAGCGACTCGCGCGTGCAGCCCGGCTGGCGCAAGAATGCCAACCTCCGCATGTACACTATACTCGACAAAATTTTCTAGCAGGTAACTTTGTTTATTCATTATATAAACTTTAAATTTAAATTACCCGTAGTTATGTATGGGTCGGTATGCTGATGATGAAGACTGATGAAAGAAGATTGTATGTAGCAGAGATGAGAATATTGAGGTGGATATGTAAAGAATGAATAAAATAAGGAACGAGTACATATGAGGAAACTTGACAGATACCTGACAGAAAAGTTGAAAGAAAATCGTCTGGGTCGATGACCGATGTGGAGTGTGGACGTGTGGTGAGGATGGATGAAACACATTTGACGAGAAGAGTAATGGAAATGAGTGTACATACATGGATGGAGAGGAAGATCAAGCGTCGTTTTCATTTGTTTAGGTACGCGATGGCGTTACGTTAGCAGCGCGAATCTGTTGTGTTACATGAGCGACGGCTGTGTGTTAAAAGGTCGTCGTCTGAATGGGCTCTAACCACTTTGAAAGAATATTTAACCACTAAAAATAGTAATTTGTCATATTCATTTTCTAGGACGAGCCGGCGTCGCCGCCGGACACGCACGCGGGGCGCCCGCGCCGCGCGCGCCGCGCCCGCCGCCCGCCGCCGCCCGCCGCGCGCGCGCACGCGACGCGCGACGCGCGCTGGGGCGCGGTGCACGCGCAGTTCGCGGCGTCCCTCCCGCGCGCCGCGCCGTCCGCGCCCTCCGCGCCCTCCGCGCTGCTCATCCTGCGGACGGACCTCTAAGCTGCACCTCGAGAGGCGAGCGCCGGGGGCGAGGGACGGCGCGTGCGGTTGAGACTTTAAGAATTCGAATATTTCTAAGCGGAGGCTGTACTGAAGTAACTAAAGATTTAATAATACGTTGTTCCAATCTCATTGGATACTTGTTTGGTCACTTTCATGTGTGTTTCGAGTTTAAACTTGAACAGTTATTGGTCGAGTGCGACGTATAGAGTCGAGCTTGTCCTTGCCTTGTGTCTTAAGTGACTTTGTTCATTCATCATTTGTAAGATTCTTTTACTTATCGAGTATATAAGTATAATGGTTCTATGGGTACTGTTCTATGGAGCAATGTTTAGTTTTAATTTGTATAAGTTAAACATTTTTATTAAAATGTTGGATAGGATTCACATTTTAATATTTCTTATGTAATAGTTACCCACTGAGGTACCTTCCGTCGCTCATGCCATGAAACTATTTTAAATATATCGAAATAATTCATAATTTGTATGCCGAGTAATAACGAATACATTTAACGACATTAAATGTGAATAAAATTCTAGTAGTAAGTACAGAGGAAAGTTATATTTATATTATATGTAGCAACAAACAGTGTCGGGTGCGCGTGCGCAGGCGCGGCGCGGTGGGGGAGGCGCGTCGGTCGAGAGTCGTCGTTTTATTAGCCACTGAACAGACTGCCATATTGTTTATTATTAGATATTTTGTTATATTAGATAACAATAAGTGATATATAAGTAGGTAGCGTAAGTCGAATCATATCAAAATAAGAAAGCCTGTCCGTGGTGTTCAATGATCGTTAATTACGCAGCGCGTATTTCGTAAAGTATTTTTTGTATCTATAAGATTTTCAAATCAAGCGGGGTTATTATGAGAGACGTTGCGACTTCCACGTACGTACCTACTGCCATAGTTCTACCACAGCATAAAAATCTATACCTTTGATCTATAACAGAAATGCCACCGAATGCAAGGAGTGTCGAAAAAAATTTATCACGTGTAGTTAGTAGTTAATTTAAAGTATGTATGTCAGTTGGCGGGAGCAACTCCTCGCGATTGCCAGGTCTATATCGTACTCTATTCACGGAGTGAACCATGCAAAGCGTTTTCTCTGTCCCACATTTGCATACAAACTGATAAGGACAGAAAACTGTCTAGCTTCGTCCACTAACACTTCCAACTGGTTTGAAATCATAGGGCTCGTTTATGTTGCTAATGCTTTAGTGAGTAATTATTAATAATTTGTATTAAAATAAAATTAACATACAAATAAAATCAACATACATATAAAATCAACATTTAAATGCATACTAATATATAAACATGAAAGTGTGTTTGTTTGTCTTTCTTTCACGTCGAAACGGAGAGACCGATGACGTGATTTTTTGTCTGGAAATAGTTGGGAGTGCTGGAGAGTGATATAGTATACTTTTTACCGCGGGAAAAACACAACACACAATCACATTCCTACGAGAAAACACGTTATAATACAACCCAAAAACTAGTTATGATCAGAATTACTTGAAACTTGATATTAATGCTCTTCAATACAATTAAATAAAAACGTGTTTTAGCATTTTTCTAAATTCATCCCATAAGAGTGTAAAATAGAGGATGAAAGTTTGTATGAAACCTACTTTTTTACAGTTTTTCTGTAGTTTTAGCGCGAGCGAAGCCGCTGGTTCTGCTATTATGTACATATATACATTATTTATTAATTTTCGCTTTCTGACGTATCACTGTCATCTCCTACATTGATAATAAATCAGATAACTAACTACACGAGAGATGTCTGAACGGTACAGAACGCAACGACGGACAAGTCGTAACTTACATTGTAATCGCGACCTATCCCGCGTCTTATCAGCAACTAATCACGAGGAAGCGCGCTCAGTGCTTGGTTCATTCGGCGAATACAGTATAGACGACTGTATGGTATAGTGTATTACATTATGATGTACCACTGAAAGGAGGCGGTGGCGGCGCAGCGGCAGCGATAGCGTCAGACCGTCGCCGTACTCGCACCTAGATTCCATTCTTCTGTGATTCGCCTATTGTAACGAAATTAGTATAGAAATGTTTAACTCTTTATCTGAATCAGTTGTTATTATTATTATTGATTATATATTAAATAGTAGGTTAACTCCACTTCCACGTCGTGGCGGTTGTCAGGAGATACCTGGTGCCAAATAGCTTTAAGACGATGCCCGAGCGCGCCGCAGTGGCGCCGCCGCGCGCCGGCGGCGCGCTCGGGAACTAGACAATAAGGTAGAGCTCACGTGACGCAACCTACTTGTTAAAATTTGAGACTATTAAGCAATAAAGTGATATTTTTGTACTGATTACTTTTATTTTTTTATTTTCTCTCCCTAATCACTTTTTATTATTATAAAATAATATTTGTCATAAAAAAATAATATATTAACATTTATACACATAAAATATACGAACACAACGCAGCTTAACTTAAACTGCTTAGCACTGATAAACGTATGACAGTCTTTAAAGATCGAGTCTTTGTTTTATTATCTCATTACTAGTAACTTATAAGTTACAATGTCAACAATAGGCCCATATGGCAATGTTGCGATTCTTCGAGATATTGTCAATATCCAGTGTCCCTCTGCACCTCGTGAGCCCCCCGTGTCTCCGTCCCCCAGCCTCACACTATCACGAGACGTCCGTTTCTGTACACGGCTCTGAGTGGAGTTTTGTCGCTGTGGCCCTTCCGCGAACTGCAATATGTTACATTTGCCTTTTAATTTTTGTTTGGAGTGCATCAATCGCCGTATGATTTGTACATGTTTACGTACATACCTCAGAGGCGTAGTGATGGTGACGTCGCTGCAGGCGCGGGAGTGGGCGCGGCGGCGGCGCGCCGTGTGCGCCGCGCACAGCGCCAGCGCGGCCGCGCCCAGCTGCAGCGCCACCAGCACGCAACTCGCGCTCGCCATTACGTATAGGTAGCGCGGCAAATCGGCCTCGGCCTCCTGGAACCATCACAACTACACACTTCTGTTGCTAATTTAATTTTTAAATCATTCCTCCTCTATCGCCTTTCTCCATGTATCCGTCTCGTTCCTTTCTTTTACTCTCTCAGGTTATTCTCTTATATGTAAGTGATGCCCGGTTAATGCTTGCGATCGGGCAGGGCGCGCGGTGGTAAGTCAATAAAGATAAACTGAAATAGGTTATGGGAAAATAAATTGACGCACCGCCATGAGTTGATTGACTTTTTCGGGTAACGGGTGGTAGTGCGCGAGGTGCTGCAGCAGCGGGTGCAGGTGGTCGCCGAGCGCCAGCGCGTGGCGCAGCTCGGCCGCGTCGTCGCCGCGCAGCCAGCGCCGCACGCGCCACGCCACCCAGCCGCTCCACACCACCTCGCCCCATACTAGCACCAGCATCGTCACCGCGTACTATTTAGACAATATTTAGATAAAGTTCCGAATAATCCATACCTCCGATTAATCTGAATTTTGGAATACATATAGATTTCGAAGCACTGATAACGACCATGGTATTCAAAATACCCACAAATTTTATTTTCAAGGTCGAGTCTAAGAAAAATCGTTTCGCGTTTACCTATTGCGACAAATATTGGTTCTAGATAAAAATGTTTTCTACAAAAGTTGTAGCCCCTAAAAAGGTTGACATTTTTCTTCAATACGTCTTTCGTGTTTGGGAGAAAAATACGTAAATTCTCCTAAATTCGCATAAGTATTTTGTTATTACCCCATTACAGTAGTTTCTATATAATTAACCAACTTCCCAAAAAAAGGAGGTTCTCTATCGTCGGAATTTTTTTACTCGAAGACGCCTGAGCCGATTAGGATTTTTTTTTGTTTCAAAGGGTATACTTCTCAGGTGGTCCCATATAAATTTTACCGAAATCGGTCAAGCGGTTTTTTTAAAAAATCAACAATAAATATATTTTTTAAATAATTGTTTAATCGAATATGTTATTAAAAAAACTTTCTTCTTACAAATTACCTGCTTATTATGTCTGCACTAAAAATGGAAAAATAAAAACTTAAAAAAAAATATAGAAACCACTAAGGCACTAAAATGTAAAAAATAACTAAACTGAGGTTTTCATTTAGAATAGATACCTAATCAGATATTTTCGAAGTCGGTGCCAGCTGACAATATTTTTAGATATGAATATCTTTAAGGTAAATATGTATTTTACGTATCGAAATTATTTGATTTGCTTTGCATCCGCTGCTACTGCTATTTGGACCAAATCTTTAATCTGTTAAAAATTTTAAAACGTCTTGAGGTGAATTATTATTTAAAAACGTACAAAGAACTGTTAACTCTCCTGAAACTTCTAAAGCATTTATATCACACTAGCGACTCACCCTCGCTTCGCTCGGGTTCGTCTCTAGCTTGATTCCCCATACAATCTTTCATCCCCGTTTTCACCCCCTAATGGATGATTTCCGGTATAAAAGTATTCTATGACCAAGGTCTTGAACTATCTCCTTACCAAATTTCATCTAAATCGGTTCAGTAGATGTAGAAATTACCCCCACACAACGTCACAAACTCACAATCTCATAAACTTTACCTCTTTATAATATTAGTATAGATGAGTTCTCGTGAGTTATAATAGACTCGAGGTTGTTACAATGTTCTAAGTTCTAACAACTAATTTTTTAAGAGTTCTCCTAAGACCTATATGTTGATAAAGAGAACTAATTTTATGTGTAGGTATTTATTTTAAAAATGCTCTGCCTTATTATCTAGTGCCAATGAGGTACTTCTGTAGATTCTGAGGTCCAGGGTTCGAGTTCCGGGTCTGGCCAAGTTTAGTTACTGGGTTTTTTTTTGAGAAACTCAATGAAAGTCGAAGTTAAGAAGTTAGTAAAAGGAATAGAGAGTGAACTTGTGTGTGAGCACACATTTGTGCTTTATAATATGTCCACCGACCAATATGAGCAGTACGCGCCGTGAGCCGACGCGTCGGCAGCGGAGCGCGGCGAGCGCGAGGTGCGCGAGCAGCACGAGCGCGGCGCCGGCGACCGGCAGCACGGCCGTCGCCCAGCGGTACTCCAGCGGGAACAGCTCGCGTGCGGCGATGTACGCGCTCGGGTCCCACTTCAGCCGTGCAGCCACCGACAGGATTGCGCCAGCGAATAACTACAACGAAATTTTATTATTATTGTTCCTACCTCTTTGGATTTTTTAATTATTTTTATATCAGTAAAGTGATATTTTATAGTTGTTTGTTGAACAGATAATGTATTCATTTTTTTTTGTAAAAATATTCCCGTGAAAAATATTTAGCTTTAATTTTATTTCACAACACAAGTTCTGACCTTATTAAGAGATGGCGCTGTTCAAGATTGTTTAAACAAAAGAGACAACGGGCATAACTAGATTTCTTATACATTTAAACGTTTAATAAAAACATTGAGTCGTCGTCACTATTGAACAAACAACAAGATCCATATCCCACCATCAGCAGTAGGTTCACGTGCAGCAACAGAGTCGGCACGAATCGCACAAAGCGCCCCATGTCCTTAGTGTCCTGTCACGTTACTCACGAAACAAACATGATCTTCGCAGTGACTACACGACAGCAAAAACACGATATCTAAAGTTTGAGGGCGCGAGCTTTTCATTTAGCAAAACGACCAACAGGTGTTTATGTGTACAGACAGTTTTCGTCACTACCTTTAGCTTTCAGTGCAAATATGACCGTATTTGTGTACAAGTCATGAGGAAATATCTTATCAAAATTATTTTATCAGTAATCGTGACAAAACAGACTCACCCATAAACTATCTGCGCTTATCGCGTAGATAGCACGGTTTCGTGGACTACTCAATGCCATTTGTTGACTAATTGGAAAAGAATAATACCTACCTGCTGCCATGATTATTCTAGATTTATTTTTATTTTTTTAGAAAAGTTATATTATCTTTATTTTATAAGAAATAATTCCTAAGTAATAATTTATAAATATATGAAAGTGTTTGTGTATTTGTTGGTTAGCAAAGCAACAGTTGCCGTTTCTTGCAAAGACATAGTTTATTTCTCGGGGAATCTCATTATTATAATTGCGTAGTCGATCCCAAAATGCAGCAATTCTACTACGGACGACCCTTAAGAAATCTGTATCCTAGCTGAAGCAAACATAACAGATGTGCTACAGAACTTTACAGACGTCCGCAATAAGCGGATGTAGCAATCTCTTAAATATTTTACCAATCATAGGACGTAATGAAATAGGCCTAGGTATACTTAATTACTTACGAGTGACCATTACAGTTCTCAAAGTTGTTTTAAAACATTTTTGAACGGCAAATACCTAGTTAATATTGATACATAAATTAAAAAGTGTTTGTATGTAGACACTATTTAATTATTTGCATAAAACATGCGTTCTTAATCCATCGTGTCCGGGATTTTCTACGTTTCGTACATTGTATAACTTTAGCTACGCCTTTATGTAGAAACTGTATATTTTCGTATTCCAAAGAATGAACTGTTTGTATGAGTCTATTACTACGCGTGGCAAGACTGCAGACTCGTCCGGCGCGCGCGTTGCGATGCAAATGGCCTATATTTGTAAAGATCATTTTCATTCTGTGCTTCCTTTATGACACAGGCTCTACTTTAAAATTGCAAACATGGTAGCGATTTTTTATTTCGACTCATATATTCGTGTAATATGTTTTGCAAGTTAGATCTGTTGTGAGATCATTTTATTGCTTGCTAGAATTACTCACCTTTTTTCAATCTTTGTTAGCTTTAATATCTGTAGCTAAAATATTAATTTTTATCATGATCGCTATTGTCTCGGCACCATTCCAGCTTGTTTCTTAAATTTTTACGACTTTTTATTACAAATTGAACCAGAAGATTGTTTACCATTTAACAACTAACAGGAATACCGAATCCTAGCTATTTTATTCACCCCCTTAAGGGATGATTTCCGGGATAAAATGTTATCCTATGTCCTTTCCAGGGTCTAAAAATATCTTCTTACCAAATTTCATCTAAATCGGTTCAGGAGACCCAGAGATTACCCCCTACAACTTAACAAACTCACAATTTCACAAACTTACAAACTATACCTCTTTATAATATTAGTGTAGAAAAAAAAACTAAGTTACGTTTTAACGTTAAGATGAGATCTCAGAGATGAGATATCTTCCTGCAGTACACAGTATCATATACATACATATGTTAACCCGGATGACCACCTATGTCATACACATCAAAACCTGTCCAGTAGCTTTTTCGTATTGTGGTTACCGACAGACACGGACAAAAAATTTCAAAGTTATAGATTCGGCCTCTGTATCGATAATAATGTCTATTTCAATAAGATTTTCCAAAAAATAATTATAGTACGGATTCGGCTTAGTTATAATTTTATTATACGTATGGATATAAGATTTTATTATTTTATTTTTATTTATCAATTAAATAAAATATCTATATCTATATATATATATATATATATATATATATATATATATATATTTATTTATCAATTAAATAAAATATCTATATCTATCTATATATATATATATATATATATATATAGTGAATACATTGGCTAGAAAAACAAATCTTAGTCAAATTTTCATTATAATATTTCTAAATATCATAATATCTTACGCTGACCCCACTTTTTCTTTTCCCAGTTTTTGATCTTTGGATATACTTAATATAGGTAGATGTCTAAATGGTCGACATTGCGACAAGTAAGCAGGACAACGCCGTGACTGTAACAGATGTCTATGAACTACTACAATTCCTTAACCCTGACTACCTAGGTGGTGTAGTGACTAGTATTGACGGCTGCACATCGGTAGGTCCTGGGTTCGAGTTCCGTGTCAGGCTAAGTTTAGTTATTGAGTCTTTCTGTTAAGAAAGTTCCACTAACAGCCCGGAGTTAGCGGTGTTTCACGCCCGTGCCTCGGAATGCACGTAAAGCCATCGGTCCTGGCCGTAACTCCCTCCGGTCGTTTGAAGTATCGTCGTATCGTAATTTAAGAGTGAAGGGAGAGTGCACTATAATATATCCTGCGCACTTGGCTAGTCTCAGTGAGACTCGCCGCTGTGGCCGAAATCGGTCAAGAGGACATCAACATCATCATCAACAACGTTATCAACACTTATGATTGCCTAGTACTTGTGATGACGCCACATGGGGTGTTCTTAGTATATAATAAAAAGTGTTGTGACGGTCGAAATATTACACTTATTTCCATGTAGCTCTCGTTCGCCAACTTCGTTTCAATAAATCTAAATTTAATCTATTTACCGATCAGTAGGGTTCTCTAGTTCTTATATAATAATGAATATTTAAAAGTTAAAACATAAGGGCAGTGATAGCACAGTGGTAACGCGCTAGCTTGGGAAATCTTGAGAAGCGGATTCAAATCTCGGGTCTCGCACTTCTTAGATTTTGGATGGCCAGCGTGGTGGATTATATATAAGGAAGGCCTATCCCCAGCAGTGGGCCGCTGAAAAGGGCTAAATACATTTAAAACATTTTTATATGTACTGAAGGATTTGTTACAAGATTAGTAAGTAAAACAGGTGAGTGAATAGTTCAACATTTATTATTATAATATATTTGAAATTGAAGAGCGTCGCAAGCGCGGTCCGCGTGCGCTCCGCGTCTCGCGCCGCCGTGCAAAAATATATAACTGTGCCGCGTTCACGTCGCTAAGAGTTACTTTACAACAAATGTATACATATCGTATATTACAGCTATCGTTTTAAATGTCTACATCGTCAACAAAAATATAGAGAGTCGCCAGTCGTCGCCAGTCGGCCAACGCCGGCGCTCCAGACTCATCACACCATGATATGATCAAGTTAGTGACCGCAATCCTCGGGACCTCGGAACCGAGGTTTTGCGACTTCGCGAGCGGTCGCATGTGGAAGGGAATCTTTTACATCTATCTAATAGCTTCGATTCTTTGTTAAAGTTCGTTTCTCTCCTCTCGCCACGCCGAAGCACTGCCTGCTATTGCCTGCCCTTGGTGGCGGAGGCTCTCGCCACGTGCACGGTGTACTACATCCACATAGTGACATTTATGTCGAATATCTTTTACATAAATCTAGAAATATATTTCTTATCGTATAGTACAATGATAGCACAACTTACAACAGCGACTTTGAGCTATAAAAGTGTCGAGATGCGCCCTTCTTGAGCCCGAGGAGTGTGGGCTCAATCTGAGCGCGTCATTCAAATAAAAGTAATAACACTAATTTATTTTTTCATTTATATATTATGTATAGGATTCGTAAGATAAAGCTTCTAAAATATTTTAAAAATTCACTATAACAATAAATCATTTTCTATTTGCGTTATAACAAAATTAAACATTTTCTACTAATATTAATTACACTCATCACACCGAAATACACGGATTTCTATTCGCTTAACGGAACAAATATGACATTTATATGTATACCGAAAAATATTATATAGGTACAATTATTGGGACTTCCACTGACATTACACATATAATATGTGAAGGATGGGGGTACATAGACACGAGTATCTTTCACACACGATTTACAGTTAACAATAAGTAAATTATAAATATGATATAAGCACGCAACTTCTGCTACACAGACCACGGTACTTAATTCATTGAGTAAATTCGTCTTAAAATCTGCAAAAGTCACTCTGCTTTGATATCTTAGACACGCAGCTCTTACTATAGGTCTTTAAGAATGATAATGGAGCAAAGTACTGGTGATGATTATGAATATACCACTACATTTATATTCGTAGCTGGAGAAACAATACCACCTACGGTTTTTCCTTCGTCAGTTGCAACCTGAATTACCGAAGTTCGCTGGCGTTCACAGGCACTGCTCGCAGGTTGCTCGACACGATTTAGACACGGTCATGTTAACTTTACATTTCGTCGTAGGAAGTGTTAACTCTACCAATTCTAGAAACGAGACCTAATTGACATCGTCTCAAGTGCATTCTTTTTAAACAAATAACTGCAGCTTCCGTACTAGTATAATAAATTATCATATTATCCGAATCGAAAACATTTAGCTGAGCCTTATGTACATAAATACTGGACATAAATTTGTTATGAGTTTAGTATTTACTCTGATTACATCATATAGGTAGCAGTGGATAATACTGTATGAATGATGAAACCCTGGTGGAGTCGTCAGCGCGCGGGGACGAGCAGGGTGTTTATCTGTAGGCCGGCTCCGCGAGGAAGGGGTTGCTGGGACGCGCGGGCGCCGCGCCCGGCACGCTCAGGCTCTCCGCGCCGCTATAGCTCTGTAATGCATTATATTAAAATATTATATTATTTTTTTCATACTGAGCTCATATAAAGGCAAATTAAATGTTATATAAAGCTACATATACCTATATTCCATTTCTTTTTAGAGTGTTATAAATTTGTAGATGATTTGATATTGTCACACGTAAAATATTAAGCAGGTATATGTAAAATACCTGAGTGGCCCCGTAGTTGTCGTGGTGCGCGAGGTCGGCGAGGCGCGTGGAGGAGAGCGCGCGAGGCAGCGGGTTGGACGGCACGCCGTGCGGCGCCAGCACGCCCGCCTCCGCCACGGCGCGCGCCTCCTCGTCGGCCGCACCGCCCGCCGGGGGCTCCTCGCCGCCGCGGAAGTTCACGAATGCGAAGGCGGCCAGCGCCACGCCGCACAGCAGCCCGTAGCCCGCGAACGTGCGCTTCGTGCCCCACTTGGCCACCGCGATGCCCCCGATCACCGCCCCGCATCCGCGACCCAGCCCGTGATGCAGGCCTGAGTAACGGCCGATTTATTACCACATTTCTATTTCTAAATTTTGCTTATAAATAACACTATGCAGTAATCCCCATCAAATATAATAATTTTTTTACAAATAATAAGACTTATACTTTCGCAAGAGCACACCACTAGCGTCATCTAATTATATGATTTATGAGATAAAATGGATAGTAGGTAGTGGTGTTCGCACCTTGCAGCACGCCTTGGGCGGAGGAGCGTAGGTTGGGCGGCGCGCCGTGGGCGATGTAGGAGCAGCAGGCCGCCCACACCGCGGCGTGCGTCACGCCCTGCACGAACTCGAAGGGCAGCACCCACCACGGCGACGTGAGCCACGAGATGTACAAGAAGCGCACCACGTTACCGGCCAAGCCCAGGCATAGTACCTAATGTTACTATTATTGTTATTGTGTTATATATAATTTTCATTTAATCTGTTTATCTTGAGTCATTCAATTAATAACTCTTTATTATTCTCTACTCTTAACTGTTTTGTGTGACTATGCATATTCTTATTAATTATAATTAATTAATCTATCTATACTACGAGTAATATTATAAAGTGTGAGTTTGCGACGTTGTAGGGGGTAATCTCGGGATCTACTGAACCGATTTAGATGAAATTTGGTAAGAAGATAGTTTGGGACTCTGGAGAGGACATAGGATATTTTTATTCCGGAAATCATCCCTTAAGGGGGTGGAAATGGGGATGAAAGTTTGTATTGGGAAGCAAGCTAGGGACGAACCCGAGCGAAGCGAGGTTGAGTCGCTAGTATATTATACGACAACTGAATTGGGAAGTATTGGAAGAAATAGTCATTACTATCGATATAGAGGCCGAATCTATAGTTTTTTGAATCTTTGTCTGTCTGTTACCGCATCACGAGAAAACTACTGGACAGATTTTGATGGTTGACGGATGGTATGATGATGGCTGGTTATCCGGGTCAACATATGGGATACTTTTTACTGCGGGAAAATATCTCATTTCTGAGAAATCTATACTAAACGCTAAAACGTAAGTAGGGACGAACCCGAGCGGAGCGAGAGTGAGTCGCTTGTCATGTATAATTTCAATATCATGCCACTTTTATATCAATGCGCTAAATACATTCGATACATGGAATAAAAACAAATTTAAAAAATATTTATATCATTTTTCATTTTGTACTAGACATCTGCTTTTTCTTCGCTTAACTTTACACTGTGCCTGAATAACTCTTGATAAATTAGAAATAATAATTGGTTTTCCTGCTGATATTACGTAATTTAGTAATAGAAATAATGGCAGAACATAAATAACTTATTTTAAATAATACTTGCTGTATAGTTGCATACATTTTTAATAGATATAAATAGTTACTGGCTAATAACTTAACGTTAGCCATATAAATTATAATTTTTTTTCGTTAATATTTCGTTTTTTCGTTATTAAAACCTATCGTGAACCAACCAACATACGAAAAAATTTTTTGCCGAATTGGTCCAGCTATTCTTGAGTTATGCGCTTACCAACATTCATTTTAATTTATATGTAGATTGCTTGCTGAATGATTTATGTGCGCAATTAATAAGTAAGTGCTCACTTATTTGACCTACCCAACATTTAGACGCCAAAATTACCGAATAGCTATAAAACAACGATATTTAGATATTATTTAGATATATGATAGCTATAAAACATAACGATATTAGTATCGTTATGTTTTATAGCTATCAGTAACTATAAACAAATTGTGTTAGCTAGTATCTCATGTAAGATTTTCTTAGATTTATGCGATTATTTGACATTACTAATTATTTTTTTGGATATATTCGTGGATTTATTTTAATCTTGTTAGTATAAATTTCTACACTACTAATTATAATTAGTAGGTAGTACTTGTACGTACTACTACTGATTAGTTCTATCCGATAAAGTTTTTTCTCTTTTTGTGTCATAAGTAGGAAAAGTTTTTGTTCATTAAATAATAGCTAGTTTTTGAAAAATTACAGAATATAATGAAAATACAACTGTTTTACCTTTTTCCGCTAGGTATCTTTATATTCCGAGATTGCGTACAAAATCTTATAATAAGGAAGTAGTTATAAAGATTTTAAAATAAATGTAGTAAATTACCTTAACATGTCCCATCTGAGTAATAAGTTTGAAGCTAAAGAAGTAGGCAAAGATTTCCGAAATGTGATTGATGACCGAAGCTACGCCAAAGAGCGTTGGGGATCCCCCGATGTCCTGATAATCAAATAAATAACTATCGTAATCGTATCGTATTAACCAAATGTGCAAACATTAAAATAAAAATTAAATAAATATTCAAATATGTACCTGTAAATGCCAGAAGAGGAACGTAAAGATTAGACCGATGCCGAAACCCATGAACCAAGCGACGAGGAGGAAGGACGCGGCTTTCACATTTTGGAATTGTCGAAGCACAGTCACCCACTCCGGCATCTCTCGCGTAGTTTGCGCAAACACCTGCATTCACGAACCTCAGGTTATTAACCTGATAAGGACTGTTAAAAATTAAAAAAAAATCGATCTATTCGTCCTTTAATAGGACGAAAAATAATTCTTAATCCTTTACAATATATCTATAAACTATAAGGAAGGACGAATAGACTAATAAATGAGTAAGTAGAGGAAGTAGCTTGGCTCAGCTCGGTAGGTTAAGGTTATTTTTTTTATGCATGTAGAAACTCCTGCACCTAAAAATCATTTATTTTACATTAAAAAACAAAAAGGGTAAATATTCGTACAAACCGACAGTGGTCGGACAAATTATTAGTTCTATAATTATATATAGAATTTCTTTTTTTTGTCTTTGTTTTATGTACCGAATAGCAGCAGCCAAAATTTTTATCCAATAAAGTACAAATCTATTAGTTAAAAGCAGATAATAAAATGTAAATTATTGAACCTTGGCATGTTCTATCGCTGGTTGGCGCGGAGCTGGCGCGCTAGTGTCCAGGCCGGGAAGTTGCAGTTGTTCGGCCAGCTGTTGTTGCAGGCGCTCCTCGTGAGTTGGCTCAGTGGAGACGGGTGCTGGAGGTGTTTCTATGCTGATTGTTTCATATTTGAATTTAATCTAAAAATAAATAGAATAATGTAAAATATCGTTAAATGATTTTATAAATTAGAAGTTACTGTATTTGTATAGATTGCCTTTATATTATATGGTGCAAAAGTAACTACTTATTACTTACTTATAAAAGTAACTGTAATTTTAATAACCTGCGTGGCAGTAATAAGTGCTGCGCCCATGAGTACAGAGAAAGTAGCAAAGCAGATGGTGTAATTCTTCTCAAAACGCTGTGGTCCTCCGCATGGGTGAGTGCTGAAGGCTGTGCTGTGGTCCAATGCAATACCCACGAAAAACATCGCGAGACCCCAACCCAAGGACCCGAACATCCGTTGATGGCCATATCTATTGAAGTAAAATACATTTATGTACATTTAATTCGTGTACATATTACATTTAATATAGATTTTAAAAACTTACAAGTGCATTATAAATATTAGCAAATAGGAATGGTATGCTTACCTGTCGGCGTCTTCTCCAAGTAATGTGATAACTGCAGAATCGGCTAAGGTTATAGCTGGGGCACTGAAGAATTCTCCAATTACAACAAGGAGTAAAAGGAGGAAAAAGGTTTTCTGAATGTCGGGTGTGCTATAAACTATATACGAGTGAAGAGGGGTAACCCAATTTGCGTTAGCTTCCGGGTCATAGTTGATCGCATCGGAGACTGACAGAGGCGAGCCCTCGCGGCCGGCAGAAGGGCCGCGGAAGTGCCTTGTGGCAGTCGGCCAATCGTCGTCGTACTTGGGTGACACCAAGCGATAAACGCTGTCGTTCACCGGCTGCACACACGACACTGCTGCGGGCTGTACCCAGCTCAAGGGTAAAGTAAATATTATCCAAGCACTCAGGGAAGCCAGCAAGAGAGTCCAGCCTTTCTGCCACCTGTCCGCTAAGCCACCCCAAAAAGGTGCCGATAAGAACTCGACGAATGGTCTTGTGCCTATTAGTAAACCGCACTGTCCCGCATTCATACCCATTTGCTTAAAGTAAACGCCCATGAGTGGGAAAAGGGAGCCAAACGCTGAATAGAAGAAAAAATAAAAAGTTTTAACAGTGAGTAGTTCGGGATCGACGGTACCGGCTCCGCAGATCAGCTCGAGCACGTCGCTGCGGCCCCGCACTTTGTGCGTCGCTTCTTTCGGCGCAGGGTATCTGCAAAGAGAATAATATTTGATCCCAACTGTAGTAAATGATGAGTGGAAAGATATTTCATTTTAGTTATTATATAATTACTATAATTGATGGTAGGTATACACTTTAGTTTATACAAAAAAGTCTCTAAAAAAAAAACTCTCTTGGCCAGAAATTTTATTTTTTTTACTTTTTAGAGTTTTTTCTGAAACTTAATTAAATTTAAAATTAAAAAATTTTATTTCATTCTTAATCATTAAGTTACTCGAGGGCACTAATTCTAATTGTTATTGAGACTATTCTTATGAGCCCAAACACGCTATATTATGTGCTATAAGTTTTTGAGCATCTCGTAAACTAATTGATGCTACTGCATCAGTTCAAGGTTAGCATCTCCAAAATTGGTCCGTTCGTTTTAGGAGCTACCATGCCACATACAAGCACACAGATACACACAGACACATCAAACTTATAACATCCCCCTTTTTGCGTCAAGGGTTAATAAAATAATAGAGCTGTTTATTATCTATTTGGGATGTCGTTGAGTTGCTTCGGTTATTCGACAGTGAGTAAAACTCCTTATCCAGAAGTAAACGAAAATTCTCAAGTAATTTTTAAATTATGCCTGGAAGAGGTCGCTTTTAGCGATAATGCCGCCTGTTGTACAATTTTTTTCTTTGTTGTGTTTATGAAATTTTGTTTGTATCTTTTTCTTGGTGTAAAATAAAGTGTAATTGTAATTGTCCTGCATTATATTTCTCACTCAATTTCTTAAGATTTATTTAATCGAGTTTTACTGTCATTCTATTGGGATGAGCTAACTGACCGATTTATTTCATTTGATCAAAATTACCACAAATGATAATATTTATACGAGAACTACAAAATTAAATAATAGTGTTAAATAATGCCGTTAGATCCGAAAATAGCCACTGGGAAAGTCTAATCACCGCCAATTACATGTTTAATTATTATCTTTATGTATTTGACGTATAACAATATCGGATCCTAATACCGTTTTATAATATTTAAAATGATTTTTTTGACAATTTTCTATATTAATACATTTTGTTTACAATTGTAATTAGATTGCTTATTTATGAATAATTCGAACAGGTCACATTGCCGTCAAGTATTTTAATCTAAGAATAAAATATACAAAGTAATGATAACATTAGGTATAATGCGTAAGTAGGTACTAAAGAATATGATTGTATTGCATTCATACTACGTGTTAAGGTGTTTTATGTAATAAAATGAAACTATTGAGAAGATCAATTTTTGTACGGCTTCTAATAGATGTACGTTAATGATGAGTTCATTGAATTTCCCTTATTACTGTATTTCGTATCCTCCAAGGAAATTCTGTTATTTTCACGTCAAGGCCACACCTGTAATCCGAGGCGGCGAGGCCCTTCACCAACAAATAATATGTAAACGTCAAATCAATACTCCTCAAAAGTGTTGCAAGCGCGTTCGCTGTATTTACTTATACCAGTTCGAATTGTTACAGACATCGTCGCATACAAAGTAAAATGTTTAACTATTTTCTTTACACTATATAGGACGCCATTAAACTTCTAGTGGATAAATCGTTAGCAGACGGGAAAGCAAGTCTCTTCTCTAGATATGTATCATTTAATTTTTGTAGCATCGATTTTTCTTACTCCCACTTAAATACAATGAAATCATCTTGCTCAGCCTTCAAAAATAATGGAGCTTGATAAAATGTATATATATGAGTAAATTAAAATAGTAAATAGCATTTGCACGCAGTAATATATGGTTATTGTCGTGCGCGAACCTGGAGGTGTCCACTTCGCCATACTCGTCGGGGTTGACGAGGGGCCGCGCGGCGGTCGGCAGGGCGGGCGGCGCGGGTTGCTGATGCGCCTCCATGGTCGTGAGGCGGCGGCGGGCGCCCGACTGCCGCGCTGCCCGCTCCGGCCGAGGCGCTGCCCTCCGCCCTGTCAGTCGATACCGCCGCGCCTGCGCTCGCCGCCCTACCGCCCGCCCAGCCGCCTTCCATTCCGCCCGTGACGTCACTCGCACCGGAGACTGGAGAGCGCCACTTGACTGCTCCTTCACAGAACCTACTTCCGCTATGACTTATAATCGAATTTCTTATTTGGTTCAGTTTGAACAACCCTCACTCCATGTCTGACGATTATCAGATAACGTGTTCATATATAATATATAATTTTTCTTGTACATAGGTACGGTAAAATAATTTTCTTACGTGGACGCGATAAATTCATGAAAATGCAACATTAATTAATGCTTCTCAATACGTGTACGAAAATGTTACGTACTTACGAGGAGTATCTATATTTTTAAAAAGACAAACAAACAGACTCGTAAGTGAACACAAACCTGTTATAATAACTATTGATTATGAGCCGATTACAAGAGAGTTTCGGGGACAATTTGCACAACAGGATTCCAGGATTTTTTTATTAATACATACAACAAACGACTACGTAGAAAATAACACGCCAGGCAATTCGATGTTGGATATGGTTTGCATTTTTTTATTTATGAAAAACAAATAAGATCTATAGTCGCACTGAGTTCCTTTTTGTAGTTTTCAGTAGTCAGTTGACTGAGGCTTTTTTGGCAATAAGAGTATAGAGTAGAGTATAAGAGTATAAGAGTTTATAGTACCAATATTAAAATATTTTTTTTTTCAATTTATAGATAAATAATGCTAATTATCCATTGTTCAGAATTTAATCTTTTTTCAAGATTTTTCGCAATAATTCCTGTCAGAGGCGTGACCGTTGCGGCCTGTACCTAACGTGGCTAATTCGTTCATGCTAACATTATGTACCTGTGTATAGTATGATCTACTACAAACTGTTCTAAGTTTAAACAATAATACGTTTATGAGTAAAATTATTAAACATATTTAAATATCTTTCTTTGTTTTTAATTGAAAATCATTTAAATTTTACAATAATTTAATTATATGTAAGATACGCAGTGTCGGTTAGTTCACATGAGTAGTCAGCGCGGCGTGGCACGGCCGGGCGTATCGGAGGCGCGTGTGGCGTGGCGCGCCAGGCGCACGCTCGCCGCGTGCATGGAGGAGCGCCGGCGCGCGCTGGGCCTCCTCGAGCGCCCGGAGCGTTCCGAGCGCCCTGAGCGTTGCGACCCCGACCGCAGGCGCCGCCGGCTCTCTTCCCTCATCTCCTCGTCCTCCATCTTCTCATCACTGTTGAGGTTGCTTTCCCCGCTGAGCTCGGACCGAAACGAGACGGCGGGCGAGTCGCGGACGCTAGGTTCGGGCTGCAGTGGACCGCGCACGGGTTTGACCGATTGTTCGAAATGGAAAACGAAAAGTAGCTCCGACCAGAAGTTATTAGTGAAGGGCCGCATCGGATCGCGCGGGTGGCGCCACGCCGTCCACACTAGGTCGCAGCACGACACCATCACACCCAGCGCGCACCCCACCACCAGAACCAGGAACAGACCCATGAAGTTGCGCATAGATAGCTCCTCGCTTTCGTGTTCATCTTTCGGCTATTTCAAAATAAAATAAATTATTAGTTATTTGGTATAACTACAGTGAAAAAATTGAAATAGGGCGAATTAACATATTTTTTTTGGTTATATAAGGAACTCGATTCTCGACGACGCAGGTGTAGGTTCTGTAATGCTACTTTATCGTCTATCGCTCATATAAATGATGCCTATAATTATACCTAAATGAGAATCATTTTATTTAAATCTTTATAACAATTTTATGGCCACAGTCTAACCTAGGAATATCATAACATATTGCATTTTGCTTTTTTCATTGTCTACACTCTTTCCCCCCGTTATGATATTAGTATCATAACGGGGGATAAGTAAGTTTGTCTGTGGAATAAACTCTGGACCTACTGATCTCATTCTGAAAATTCTTTCACTAATTGGAACCTATATTACAGTCGAATGCTACAGGCTATTTTTATTTATCCCACGACACGTTTGGCTTATTTTGTAGTGATCCTACTTGCTGTGCCAGCGTTCGCGGGTTCGACTCCTTCTGGGAGCATTCATTTTTGTAATGAGCCCGAATGTTTGTGCTCCAGTCATGGGTATTTATATTTATAATATGTAGGTATTTATAGTTATATACGTGTAGTGCATCAACTATCTGGTATCCGTAACATAAGCCTCGTAGCTTACCTACCATGGAATTAGATGGTGCTGTGTGTTAATGTACATATTTAACATTTTTTTTATCCGATATAAATGTGTTTACTGTTAGAAATTGTAATAACTTTAATAGAAGTCGAAAAAAATATATACGTCGAGTTATTTTATCGGCTATTGTCAGGCAGTAGGCCCCTACTCGTAGGAATGTACCCGAGTGAAGCGTGGGTAAGTCGCTAGTTTTAAATAAAGATAGAATATTTGAAGTTGTTTTTGAACAAACATGAATTTTTCTATTCAGATATAAATGCAATTTGATTTATGTAAGATTGACAAGACGAGTGCGGAGTGAGTAAAAAAGAGAAAGTTTTTGAGAAAACAAAGAGAGGGCGCACCTGGCAGGCGCCGCCGCCGTGCATCTCCTTCCACCAGCGATGCTTCATCTCGCGCAGCACTCCCGCCTCTTGCAGGTTCAGTAGCGCGAGATTGAGAGCTTGGCGATACTCGGATCCTGCCACGCGTATCACATTGTTGAATAATATTATCTACGCTTACATTGAAGTTGTAGTAAAGAAACTACTGTACCAATAACCATTTCATATAGACGGGATTGTTTTCTACTACATTATATACGTTAAGTGTTACGGAAATTCTGCCAGAATGCTTTGATAGACATTAAGTGAATTACTTTATAAAAACTAGGTCAACTTTTGAGATATCTATACATATACGTACTTAATAAAATAGTGACAAATTGAAATCTGTACACGATTTTGTTTAGAACTATGACTGTTACGTGTTGTGTATGGAATATAGATCCATATAGAAAATCTCTCATTCCCAGGGGAAAACACAGATAGCGATTTGGACGAGTTGTCATTAGTACGAAGGTATCGAAGTATCATCCCACCGTAGCGTAAGAGCCGTTCCAAACTATAGGGAGTGAGAAAGATGATGATTATGCCATCTGCTGGGAAAAGAACACAAAGTGATGGTAAATAGCGTTTTTAATAAATTATTTTTTGTTAATTAAAATAAGTGTTTGTGATGTCTTGATCAAAAGTATCTTACTGTATTCGTGGCTGTTTAAATATGCCGTATAAAAATAATACACAGTTTGAAATTTTATCGTTTCCCTGAAAGTTCATTGAGCACTGCGTGGATAATCTTCAAACGTCAAAAATGGATACACGCATTACGCAGTAAAAAAACCGCATGTAAGTAAAATCTTCTAGTTATTTTTTTTTAAATTTTAATTATTATTTTGTGTATAATCAATATGATACTATAGTTGGCAGGTATTAGACAATTCCAATAAAAGATTATTATCGAGATATTTTTGTTTCCTGTACGATTTCATCTATACATATAATAAAATTGTAACTAAGTCGAATCTGTACATTAAATATTTTTTGGAAAATCTAATTGAAATAGACATTATTATCGATACAGAGTCCGAATCTATAGTTTTTAGAATTTTTGTCTGTCTGTCTTTCTGTCTGTCTGTCTGTCTGTCTGTCTGTCTGTCTGTCTGTTACCGCATCACGAGCAAACCACTGGACAGATTTTGATGAAATTTTATATGATGATAGCTGGTTATCCGGGTCAACATATAGGATACTTTTTACCGCGGGAAAATATCTCATTTCTGAAAAAAAATACAAAAAACACAAAAACTGCATTGTAAGAGTATACTAATATGTAAAAACTAAGAATTAGGTTTTGGGTCACCTGAACGCGGGCGGAGCCGCGGGCAATGCTAGTTTATTATATAAAACAAAAAACTTGTTCTATATTTGGTGACTTTAATATTATATAATAAGTTTAAATAATTAAATACTATTATGAGTAAAAAAGTAAACAGTTGTACAAAACGTATCTTCAGGTTTTTTTTAACTACATTTCAGAAAGCATCAGAAAGATTATGTAAATTTATATGATATATATATTGATTAAGTGATCATAAATTATAAAACAATATTATTTGTACTTCGAAATTTTTAAAGGTTTTCAGTAAATTAAAAATGAATTTTAAATCATATATATAGAGCATAGATAGTTAGTCTCAGTGAAATGGGCTGCCGTGGTCTAAATCGGCCAGGCCAGGAGGACATCATCGTCAAGTATTGATTATGTTTTATTGATCTTTTTTGAGCATAAAAAATCATTAACATAAATATCACTTTGGATTACCTTTTTTCATTGCAATCCCGTAACCTTTGCTGTCAAGTAAATCTCCTACCTATAAAGTAAATTAAGAATATATTCTTTGCAATAGCAAGTACACTAACTTTTGGAAAAATATATTGAATGCACTCAACGTTACCCTGATCACTTCGCAGTCACGTTCGGTGGTGTACTCGATAGTGGTCGACTCCGCAAGGAAGGCGTAATTGTCTTCCTTTACTCTGTAATAAATGAAAACGCCATTCATCACCGTATGGATAAATTATATTTATGTTGACCAAAATATAATAAAGAAATATTTACTTTTGTATACCCACAGTGTTGTTCTTAGGCATTTCTTGCTTTTTCATTTCGGCGAACATTTTTTTATAAAGCTCCGAAGTAGAAAGCTGAAATTAATTTATTTCTTAGTAATTACATTATAAATCTACGAAACATGTCCAAATTTACATTGTTCAAATATATAAGCGGTGGCCGGCAGACCGCAGAACTAACTTCAGCCGACGAAAGCCGTACTGAGTGCATGTCTAATTGTTATGGTATGGATCAAAATATCCACAGACAATAAAATAATTAGTACTGTTGCTGTTACACAAGATGTCGTAGTTCCGGTCACATTACTAGGACATTTATTTATTGCAAATTATTATTAATCAGATCAGATCTTTAGTTAGGCAACTTTAAAGGAGAATTCAGTAAATTATAAGACAAATAATTAATTAAATGGAGATAACAATTTGGGGGAGATCTTGTCAGTCCCCTCTTACATATAAAAATAGTAAAAATAAACTAATACTGTATAAAACATTGCATGCGATAGGTTTGCAAAGTAACACATACTCGTACTTAATATATAATATTATAAATGTGAAAGTGTGTTTGTTTGTTTGTCTTTCTTTCACGTCAAAACAAAGTGACGGATTGGCGTGATTTTTGTGTGGAGATAGTTGGAAGGGTGGAAAGTGACATAGGCTACTTTTTACCGCCGCGCGGTAGATTATCTCATTCCCACGGGGAAATACGTTATACTACAACCCAAAAAAATATTTATGATCAGAATTACTTGAAAATTGGTATTCATGTTCTATAATACTATTAAATAAATAAATATTCTAGCATTTTTCGAAATTCATCCCATAAGGGGGTAAAATAGGGGACCAAAGTTTGTATGAAACCTACCTTTTTAGTTTTTTTTGTAGTTTTAGTGCGAGCCACAAACCACGGGTTCTGCTCGTTTATTTTATATAATTAGAAATAAAAACCATATTTGACAGAACCTCGAAAAATGTATATGTGGATCCGCCCGCCTTGGCACCATATGTGATGCCGTACGGGTTGTCAGCGAGATCGCGCACACTGCTGATAAGCTCGGTGGAGGATTTGGTGGCGAGGAGCGTCGCCAGGTTGGCCGTGTACGAGCTTGTGATGACCAGCGCGAACATCCACCATACACTCGCAACCGCTCTCGTACCATATGCTCTGAATCACAATAAAAATAGCACCAATAGGTATCTAAATCCACGTCAATATAATTTATGGTCCTCGATATGTCTGTACTTACACAGGCGCGATCTCTGAACCTTGTTGCAAGACAGCGCCAAGATTAAACCACAGTGCGTTGCCAATCGTAAACTGGTTTTCTAGGGCGGGCGGGTCGTCCACGCACGGGTAGGGATTCTGCCATTCCTCGGGGCACAGTCTTCCAATCACGTATAGCACTAGTGACGTGCCCACGTATGCAAAGCCCAGGCACAACCAAACCTAAACCGATACCACTACACAATTATCGGGGGGGCACGTAGTGCCCCCGCCAAGTCGAGCAAAAATTTAGTTTTTCTTTACGGTATAATCGCAATGACGTCAAAATTTGTGTTTGTTTTTTTTAAACTAGGTATCTTATCGGCTTTATTTTGATTTTTGGTTTCCGACGTTTCGAATGCTTTACAGCAATTATGGTCACGAGAGAGACAGGTGTTATATGTCTCAAAAGCATTATATAGTTTTACAGACTGGGTAATAAGGTATATAAGATATGATTACGCAATAATGTTGCTTTGAATAATCATTTTTTTATGTTTATAATTAGAAGAATAGCAACACTAAATAACATTACTAATTTTATAAAGTTTTCTAAAAAAAATTAAAAATTGTAATACCTTATAACAGCCAACATTAAATACATAATATTCCATATTCAATTATAAAATGTCTTAAAATTATTAAAATGATTAAAATTAACAAATGTTGTAAGGTACTTTGATACGATTTATGAATTTTTTGAATTCATTTTATTATTTTGTGTAACAACCTGTAACAACCATATAATGCTTTGAGACATCTTAAGCCTTAGTCTCTCCCGTGACCATGACTGCTGTACAGCATTCGAAACGTCGGGAACCAAAAATTAAAATAAATCCGCAAAAAATCCGAAAAGATAAAATGTCAAATATTCGGGTAAATCTAAGATAGTATTAAAGTAGATATTATTTGTTTCTTTTTTTTTTTTACTTAATTGCTTTGTTATTTCTATTATCTTTCGCTTCTTCTTTCCGAACTGGTAGTAGACTTATGACGTTCAGTAAAAAATTGTAATAATTTAATGCTGAATAAAATATTTTGATTTGTTTTGATTTACCATTCAAAGAGAAAATGGAGAAAAAAGACATAATTACCCCATTGGAAAAGGGCAAAAGAAAAGCTAGAAGCGCGGGTTCCGGCGGCTGCGGTTTCCTGAACAAGATGCTAATGCCTAGATTCATGAAGGGAGTTGTGAAGTCCACGGCCTGCTCGCGCTCCGCCGTTATAGTAAGATCTGTGATCGCGAAGTCTATGTTCTGTTTATACAATATGAATACACGATTAAAATTAATATTTTTTTAAAACATTAATATTTTAATTATCATTTTTATTTAATTATTTGTTAAGTGTATAATTATAAAATTGTAAGGTACTTCGGTGCCATTTCTGTTTTATTCCAAATTATTGAATAACTTGTGTGTAGACATAGTCTATAGTAATTAATAAAATATATTACAGACGACATTTCAAATGAACGTTAAGGATTACATACCGGATCGTCCATGAGACGTCGCATCATTCCGTCCCACTGATTAGTAGTCTTGTTGAGGGTGCCATATAGACCGTCCGGTTGCACTATGAAGGTGTAGTTAAATTTCCAAAATTTTGCCAGACGATCGATCAGCTCGATGCAAAAACCTTTACGATATTAGAAAAAAATGTTGAATGCATCGTGTATAGTCGAAGTGTAGTAGTACTTTTGTAGGTTCTTTTACCTTCATAGCGATTATTTCCGGACAGACGATCGGTTGATTGCTGTTTCATGATGTACGGATTGTTCTAAAGCAAAAAAATGATATATTAAATTGTTAAAAATCAAAAAGAACTTAAGAGAGATATAAAGAGAATGGAGTGTTTCTAAATACATACTTATTACGTATATACATCAGACTTTCATAATTCTGTTGTAAAAAAATACTTTAATACAGATGGGAACACAGACTCCGTAGAAGTAAAATTGTACCTCAGCGATGAGGACCGCAAAGGTGCGGTTAGTCATAATATTCTTGGGCAGCGGAGGCGCGGGCGGGCGCGGGCGCCACGCGAGGCCGGCGCGCGGCGTCCACGACGCCACGGTGTGGAGGCGGCCGCCGCGCTCCAGCTCCGTCGCGTACAGCCGCACCTCGAGCCGGCCGCCGCCCGCCTCCCACGACAACGGCCCGCTCAGGCCCTCCCATCGCTCCTGAGATCGTAATGACACTTAAATAAAGTGGGTTGACCATGGAAGGCCACCTTAACAAATAAACAGTTATAATTCTTTTATTTATTGGATGAAATGAAACAAACAAATTGTTAAGTAACACTTTGCTCTATTATGTAACATATAAAACATTTTATTTTATTGCAGAGTTAATGATTATTCATTAAAGTAAGTTTTATTGAACTCTTCCAAAATGGCCTTGCAAGAAACAGGGCTCCATACAAGGCCGATATAATAAATCTATCGTTTAACTTAAAACTAACGTAGAGACAATCAAACTATCTGGTTATCCTTAATCATCATAAAAAGCTCTTTCATTAAAATGAAACATTAAGTACGTATCATAATATATTCACATAAACAATAGTCAACGAACATAACTTGAACACTATCGTAAAACTAAGAATGTATTTGTGAAAATGTTTTAAAAATAATTTTAATAAGCATTATATCGATATCAAATAAGTTGCCAACAATCTTTATAATAAAATAAAACCAACTGTAATGGCTTTCTTATGAGTCTGTTCCTTGTAAGGCTAAAAGGAGTTTTAAAATAAAATTATTTAAAGCATGGTTTAAGCAAATAATATTATGAACTTATATATTTTTTACCCGATAGGTACGTATTTACGTACTACTAAAAACTAAGTATTTTTATTTTCGTGATTCCTAAATGTTCCTAGCGAGGTCCCTGTGCCCTAACAAGGCCAACTATCAATTTTGTGATGATCTTTTTCGTCCTTACAAGGAACTGTTGGCTTTCCGGAACACTACCGATATTTTAACTAAAATTGAAATAAAATCATATAATTTTATATAGAAAATAATAGTTTATTTACTTGAAAACTAACGCTTTGCTGTGAGCGCGTGTTATAATTTTAACGTCGACGAAAGTAGTCAACAAAGCGAGGGACCGCATTGACAAACCAGCAGCGCCAGCGATCGCCGCGCCGCTGCGTCTGAGTGCTTGAGTTCAATGGGTAGAAGAAATTTGTAATCTCATGGCAATAACTACGACGTTTTAATAATCGGCCTTACAAAGAGCGTGAGCTTTCATGGTCCACCCATCTTATATTAAACATAGGTACCCTGAAGATTCTATGAAGTACCATTTTTATGTAATGTCTTTATTATTATATCATGGTTTTCAAAAAAAAACATCAAAAATTAAGATGAAATTCTGCTTTCATGTAAGGTAAGTGACTCACCTAAAGTTACTTACCGAACGCAAGTAATTCAGCAGCGTGTCGGCGTGGAATGACGCTTTCCCCGAGAGACAGTCGCCGGAAGCTTGCGGCGTCAGGTTGAGATGCTTTATTGCGGCCGCTACCAACTTGACTGCGTCGTAGGACAGAAGAAGTGATGTCGGTGGATTTGCTACTATCTGGTGAAATCATCATGTTACTTCTAATAATTAAGCCTTTTCAATTTTATCTTTTATCTTTTAAAATTTTTAGTTTTTAGAATTTTTGTCTATCTGTCGGGGAACGCATCACGAAAAAACTACTGGACGGATTAAATTCGGAATGGTGATAGCTGGTTATCCGAGTCAACATATGATACTTTTTCTAAAAAAAAATACACAAACTGGTTAAAATAAAACCACGCTATTACTATAAACATTTCAGCAAGGTAACTTACTAAATATGGCCAAAAACTATTAAAAATGATATTTTATTCGTTAAAATAACTCTAAAATGTTATTGTTGTGTTATTTAGATATTCGTCAATAGATGTCGCCATGTGTTTTAAAATGCGTGGTTTTAATTCCAAAAATTGAATGTACAGATATGACCTTTCTATATATGGTAAGATATTTCTATGATTTTATTAGAATTACTAATACTAGCGACTCACTCGGGTTCGTCCCTAGGTTGATTCCACATACAAACTTTCATCCCCATTTTCACCCCCTTAAGGGATGATTTCCGGGAAAAAATGTTCCTATGTCCTTCCCAGGGTCCTAACTATCCTCTTACCTTTCATCTAAATCGGTTCAGTAGAAGTAGAGATTACCACAACGTCACAAATTCACAATTTACAGACTTTACCTCTTTATAATATTAGTATAGATATCACCCGCGGCCCTGCCCATGTTCAAATGACCATTAAAACAAACTTTTTGGCTTTATAAATAAGTAATATTTTGTTGGAAGAAACAATTATGAAATAAATATATTTGTATTTTTTTATTATTTAGTAAATAATGTTAATTTTTGTAAACCTTTTAATATAAAAATTGGACAAATGCAAGTCCATATCGCGCATTTAAGGGTTCCGTATAGGAAAATACTGTGGTGTATTTCTTTACTTAGATACCATCGCATTTTGTTAGGTTGATACTAAAATAAATACAAATGATTTTTACGTTTCCACAATATCGACTCGTTATATCAACCGTAAAAATAAGTTGGTTTCATATTATTTTATAACATTTTATTGAAAACAAGTAGCTATGGTTGTTAAACTGACAAAGCGGGTTAAGCTGAAGATATTCCATATCTCAAAAACTGCGAGATATATATTCTGCAAGGTAATTTTCGTTAAAAGTATTTTAGAAACTGTTACTTGAACGTTTTCAGTTTTTTTGACACCATTTCTTGAAAGGTGGAGAAAGAAAGGCTTAAGGACACAATACAGTATTTACGACTTTAATTGTACTTTCTTAATACTTTCTTAGATTTACGCGAATTCTTGACATTATTTAAATAATCCTAATTGTATTAGCCGAGCCATATGAAATAGTAAAAAGCATTCGCTTAGGATTATTTACCTTATGGACTTCTGGAACATTTTCAAAACATTTTCTTTTGAAAATCGTTTTGGAAAATATTACTAACTAGTTCCTAGGCATTATATTAACAATAAGAAAAAATATTATTATGGAATATAATCAGTTATAGTGGAATATAATAAATGATTAAAATTAATTCTAGTTTTAGAGTTTATCGCCCAAAACTAAAAGAAAACAAATAAAACAGAAATATAGACTATAGACATACTATAAATGTTGTTGTTAAAACAAAAAGTGCAATATTACTAAATCAAATATGAGATTAACGGAGGAACCTTTGTGGCAGCTGGCATTGTCGATCTCCGCCATTATTTCCCAATCATGTGGTGCGCCATGAAATTGGTTTATGTAAGAATATACTAATATGTGAAACATAAGAATTTCGTTTTTGGTCATCTGAATGTGGCCGGAGCCGCGGTCAATGCTGGTCTATTGTATGTATAATTTTATAAATTTTATATTTAATTAAGACCTGCGCTATTTCTTCTTCGTTAACTTCGGCGTCTTCCGTAAGCTTTCTATATTCTTCACTCCAAGCCGTCATTGCTTCGGATACCTTCTTGGATTCGGGATTAAATAAACGTAGACCTGTAAACAATAGGTATAGAAAAGGTTTATAACTTACTGGTTTTGGTATAGCCGCTAGTATATACTATATAGACCGCTCTCACCGGTCGTGTCGATTTGTCACCTCACAGGGGCTTAAAAGTGTAAGGAATACCGAGTGCATTTGAGTTACAGTCATACTTGTGTCATATACTTATATTACATTGACCGAAATCTCTCAAAAGATACTAAGTATTATTATAGAAAAAGATTACGAAAAATCAAAATTAACTTTATTCTACTAGACTTTTACAAGCTCTTTTATATTATACCAGCGACTTAACATCGCTTCGCTCGTTATTTCTACCTAAAATAATTTATTTACAATGCAACGCCATCTATCGTACCTCGGTAACACTACTACTGTGAATATCGATCAAGCATCACTTAGTCACATCCACCACAACGTAGTGAACTACAACATCCACTAGAGGGCCTTAATAGTTATTGGTATTGATACATAATATGAACTTTTGATTTATTTTATTTATACTTATATTTCAATTAATAATCATGGAGGAAATTATGAAAGTATGAAAAAATATTCAAGATGATATTAAAATACAAAAACTCGAAATAATAAATATGAAAGAAACAATAGTTGATGAAATTAATTTTAAAGTAAATAAAAAGATTCAAAATGTAGAAAGAAAAACCCAGGGCCTGGAGAAAGTGATTGAGGAGCAAAAGATTATTATAGACAAAATGGAAAATCAATTAAAACAAAGAAATGTAATATTTTTTTAACCGTCATCCAAAAAGGAGGAATTTCTCAATTCGTCGTAATCTTTTTTTATGTATGTTTAATCGAATATGTTAATAAAAAACTTTCTTTTTACAAATTACCTGCTTATTATGTCTACACTAAAATTGGAAAAATAAAAACTTATACATATATATAGATATTTTCGAACTCGGTGCCAGCCGACAATATTTTATGATATGAATATCTAATAGGTAAATATGTATTTTACGTATCGAAATAATATGTATATTAGATTGGCTTTACTTTACCTGGAAGTCGTTTTTTTCAAAGTTTTTATATACATGTAGTAGGTAAGATTGTTATTTATATCCTGGACTTTTCTGTAGGCCTTTTTAAGACCTACAATTTTCTAGTACAATGTTTTGATGCTTATTAAAGGTTTAGGCAGCTTAGCCATGTAGTTTGTACGAACAGTTTTTTTGACAAAACACCGTCTAGACTCAACTTTTGTACCAAATATTTACAAATTATATTCATAAACCTTCCTCGTTTATCGCTTACACACTAACAGCAACTATGTATAGATAAGTAATTAATGTCTGTGAAATACTAAACAAACATCTGGTTTCAGTTCCGTTTTCGGTTCCTGTAGTGTGGAATTTTTTTTTACATATTCAGCTGTCTAGTTACATACTACTGGCTGCCAAAGTTATTTTCTTTGATGACAGAATAACTTCTTCAAGTTTCCCTTCCCTGCTATTATATAACACGCTATAATAGGTAGATACTGTCTCAGCTTAGCAGTCGTACTTGTCGTCACTTAATTCGCAATATTCAGAAAATTGTGTTCCTTCTTAGCTTTTGTGGTTCACAAAATAGGAAGTTCTTGTTGAAAGTCAGCATTACAGATGCAAAAAAGTTTATAAAAATATTAATAAATATGTAATTTTAATATAAATCGTCACTCCGTGCTAAAGTTAAGTATATAAGTAAGAGTAAGTTGATTAATTTTACTAGTAATGTTTGCGCCGCCGTAGCTGTAGTTCGCAAGCGACATCGTGTGCAGGTCTAGCGACGACATGATGTACGAGTGTCGGTCGGCGAGCAGACCCACGCGCTGCGCCGCGTCCAGAACACGCACGCTGCAGGTCGCGTTACACCACACTATGAAATTAGTAGCACCCCATTTTTTGAGCACCAGCAGTAAGTTCCTATAACACCAACACATAATCTCTTACAATGCCTATTTAGTAAAGTATGCATAATGAAAGAGTAAATGAGTGTGTAAGGGGTAGCCCGTAGCTATAATCGAAAACGATTAGGAGGACATCGTCATCATTATGTGATTGATGAAAGAGAAATAGTTTTTAGTACCTAAGTCCGTGGTCGTCATGCGGCGGCGGAATCTGGCGCGCGCGCAGCGACAGCAGCTCGGGCGAGGTCGTGAGGTGCGCCGCCACCCGCGCGCTGCCCTCGTGAAGCAACACCGCGTGTCGCCAGTCCTTCTCAGTGCACAGCGCTGCACACGTCTATTTTTTACAACCACACACAAATTATTTTTTTAAACATCTACGAACTGCGATAAATTTTATTAACTATATTACTAAGATATTTCTGGAAGACACTTTGGAACGGGAAAAGTATCATTTTTTTCAATTAGTAGTTTCTTTATATAACACCTTTCCACTTTTCTTTCAGAACCAGGGAACTAGAGGACCTCAAGTAAAATTTTCAGTTTTTTTTTCAACGGAACCTACACCGTCTTAATAGGTCACCGCAGGATCGTGAACCGCCTTGAACAAGAATATTATTAATAATATAAGTGTACCACCTTAGCGAGAACATCGGAGTGTGGATACAGTTCCAGAGCACTGGAAGAAGCTTTGTTCTCCGGAGCGGGCTCCGTCAGCAGCAACGCGAGGCCGGCGCGCGTGGCGGCGACCGCGCCCGCGCTGACGCCCACCGAGGCGTTCACACTGTCACTCGCCTAAACGGTGTATTGTTACTACCTTAGTAAATAATTAAAAAAAATAGATTTTTTTCGACATGGCAATATTGATGAAGAAACTATAATAAGTATTTTGTTTTATTGTGGTAGTTAACATTTTCTATTCCTTTAATCTGTATATTGTACGATTTAAATTATTATACTTAAGTATATAGTTTTAGTAAAACTTATAATAATGAATCATGTGACATAATAGTAAAATTGGATTGGTATTTGCCTCTTAGAGATGGAGATAGAGCACGCATCGGCTGGCGTCTCTTTACATTTGCGATCAAAATCTATTGAAATATGAGGAATAATAATAAACACACTTCTATCTTAATAATAATAAATAATAAGAAGGATTATATTTTAAGTGAAATCACTACAATAACAATATTATAATGAAATAAAGTTGAAAACAGTTTAAATAAACTTGTAGAGACGGCAAATCTATACTGTAACTACAATACTGTAGATTGAAATTGAAAAATTAGATAGGTATGAGGTACCATTAAATGTTATTTATCAAATCAAAGTTCAAACTAGAGTTTTTAAACATTTGTCAGTGTTTGTGTATTAAGGCTAAGTTTGTAACGCGTACATATGTTTTGTATAATATTTGATTTCAAAAAAAGAAGAAAATCATTATAGTCTCTTATGACCATTGACACAGAATATTCTTACTTGTTTACATATAATATTAGGCTCGGACAGCGGCTCGTCGGGCTCGGCGGTGGCAAGTGGCACCTCGGCCTCCTCCTCGCCGCGCAGCGCTGCTATCACCGCCGCCTGCAGCTTCAGCGCGTTTTCCACGCCAACTCCCACGCCTGCGCATGCACAAGTGACGTTAGCTTGATGACTGTCCTCTACGTTACTCCTGGAAACTTATTAATTCATTTTTTATAATTTCTTGCCTATTTTAATCGCTCGGGCATCGGACACAGGAGAAAACACCAACACTATCAAAATAACAACAACACACCGCGCCTGACATATCCTCACGTACGCTACCATGGCGCTCGCGGCACGAGTTCCGTCGCACGCGCTTCGCACAGTACTCACTCAGTCGCTTGCACGCGAAAGCTCCCACAAATAAACAATATCTTGAGAATGACTCGAGTAAATCGAATGAAATGACAAATGGCTTAATTATAATTTAATGTTGACCTACGGAAGCGTTAATTATGATTACAACGGTATTTATAATCAAATGTATCAAAAATCATGTTTATTTGAAAATTTTGTTACTCTTTGAGGAATAGCCTATGATTTACAAACATCGAGCTTATCGATATGCAACAGCGTGTGCTATTCCCACGGTACGCGTGCTCCCGCGCCGGCGCCGCCCGCCCTCGCACGCGCCGCTCGCCCGCCCTCGCCCGTGCAATCTATTCTGGAAGCGGGTCGCGTCACTGTCGCGGTCGTCCAGACTAGTTTTTAGTCGCAGTTTTAAAACAAAGATGCAATAAAAATTTAGCTCTTCACTAGTGAAATGACATATTATTTACAATTTAGTAAAGTATGATTAAATATTTTTATTACAAATTACAATGCTTAGCCAAAATCCTGCGATCAATAGGGAGAGCTATAAATATAATAATAATACCTTTGACGTAAATACAAAAGGGTTACAAGACATTTATTTTTTTAAACTATATAATTAGCACAATCTTTGTTTAGGTATAGGTACTAACGTCTAAACTAGGCCGAGCCTGTATCTCAGACGCTAGCCTCTTCCTATTACATAATTTATTTATTGCTAATAAATTAAATGTAATATAATACTAAAAATATATATGTTATACAAAATTTCGAGATACTTCAGCGTGGATACTTGTTTAATTTACTAAAAACATCTACCTTATATACTTAATATAAAGATTCAATATAGTAATGGTAAAATATAAGATTATAAACATACCTACTTATGGTAAATAAAACCAGTCAAGTGCGAGTCGGAATCGCACACGAAGCCATTTACCATAACCATGTACCATGCTTCAAAAAAAATTACCTCATAATTATGTTGTTTTGAAGTGAACATTTTTTGTGCACAAGAGAGTAAAATTTCAAGGCCGCGTCATGAGAAATCGTCACAAAAAACCGCCATGCCCTTGTAACCGTTGCCGTTGCCATAGTGACCGTTGTTATTTTCTGAAAATTGATATATATGACGTTCTTTTCGTTGCTATCTTCAAAGATTATTACTTTTACTAATTTGCTACTTTTACATTACTTATACTAATTTTATTAAATTAAAAATGCTTCGTTTTGTCCTGATTGACTGACTGATCGATCAACGCACAGCCTAAACCACTGATCGTAGAAACGTGAACTTTGGAGGACAAACTCCTTATACATTGTAGGCATCCGCTAAGAAAGGATTTTTCGAAATTCATCCCCCAAGGGGGTAAAATAGGGGATAAAAGATTGTATGAAACTCTGTTATTCTTAACGCGAAATGCACGGAATGTGGTACCTACTTTAAGATGAACAATAAGTAATGTATGTATTACATTTTTTTCGAAATTTATTCCTTAAAAGGGTAAAAGGGTGAAGGGGGTGATAAAGTTTATATGGGCAAACAATTATTTATGATCAGAATTATTTGAAACTTGGTATTAATGCTCTATAATACAATTAAATAAATACATATTTTAGCATTTCTCGAAATTCATTCCATAAGGGGGCAATATAGGGGATGAAAGTTTGTATGAAATTTTGTAATTGATGCACGGAAAGTGGTATTTACCTTTGAAATGAAAGTAAAACAATACAAATATATTTTTTTTTTGAAATTCATCCCTTAAAGCACAGAAATCTTAATAATAAGGTAATAGAAATGCCATTGCGGTCTTTTAGTACTGGGACGCGTGTCGCCGGCTTGCAGCTACCAACACATTGACAACAATAAATACACACTATCGCTCACACATGCATTTTGCATTGTTGCAACAAAAATTAAACTTTAAGCGATGACATTACGCAATATTCTCTAAAAACGCATAATCTCAGATGGCGTGATCCCTGTGACCAATAATAAACGTGTGCGAAAAGCACAGAATGATATCGCGCGCTCACTTCTAGTGCAGCACAAAGCGCATAATGCTCATATCGATAATTTTCCGTTGAGTCTTGCAACAATAGGTAACTAATTTATTGAAAGTGTTTTATGTTTCATTCCTCGACGCGATTTTAGACGATTTATTTATTTTCATAAAGGGAATACAATAAAACGTTAAAAGTAAGTAATTTTTTTTATTATTATATAGTTATACACTCAACAGCTACTATATACTCAACAGCGATATATTGTTTTTAATTCTAGTTTAATTTAATGAAGAGTCTGACTGAATTTTGTTTTTATAATGTTTTTATTGACTTGCATATATATGCATAAGTGATATAAAAATTGACTTGTATAACTACATATATGTTATTATATTCTAAATTGGGTGTATACCTTTGCAATAAATATTATTATTATTTTTTTATCAAATTTGATATCTCAGACTGTGCCTGGTAATATGATCCAGCACGGGCGTGAACCAAGTGCTGAATCAGTTCTGGGTGGTTTGTTGTACTGTGTTGTCATCATTATCTGAAGAAAGTTGCAAAAATTTTCTTACTGTTCTGCAGGTGTTTAAAATAGCAGCTTTCTGAAGAGTTAAATATGTGAATTTAGGCAAAGAAAGAATGCTTAAAGAATTAAATAAAAGTTTCGGAACAACGCCTGTTGTGGACACTATTATGGGTACTATTGTAACATTCGTCATTTTCCAAACTCTCCTAATTTCTTCTTGTAACTCTGTGTATTTTCTTATTTTTTCACTGATTGTTGCTTGTAAGTTATTAGTGTTAGGTACTGCTATATCTATTATATATGTATGTTTATTATTCTTATCTACAAAGGTTATATCAGGTCTATTGTTATAAATTGTGTGATCTGTTAAAATAGTCCTATCATAATATATTTTGTATGTCTGGTTTTCTAATACAGATTGTGGTGTATATTTATAGTAGGGTGTATGCGGATCATTAGTGAGTTTGTATTTTTGAACAAGTTTTTGATGTATAATATTAGCCAATTGGTTATGCCTGTGTGTGTAGTCATTTTGTGTTAGTGTTGCGCATGCTCCTGTTATATGCTGGATAGTTTCTGGTTTAAGGTGGCATTTACGGCATAGATCGTTTTGTACTGTTCTGTCTTTCAAAATGTATTTTCTGTAATTTTTAGTTGATATGACTTGATCTTGGATGGCCATTAAGAATCCTTCAGTCTCTGGAAATAAACCTCCGCAATCAAGCCATTTGTGAGATGCTTCTTTATTTACATGTGATTGTTCTAATTCTTTTGGATGTCTGCCGTGCAATTCTTTTGTTTTCCAGTTTTTAATTTTAACTTCAATTTCTTGTGTATTGAGAATCGGTTCAGTAGTTTCATTGTTAAGATTAAGTGGCGTAAAGAATCTATCTATTTCAATTATAGTTTCATGTAACTTACTTGTAATTTTCTTTTCATAGAAATGTTTTCTTAAATTTGATACTTGTTTAGTATAAAGCTGTGTAATATCGATGAGGCCTCTTCCTCCATATTTTCTAGGTAAAATTATACGTTCTATTGCGGATTTAGGATGATGATATGTTGTAATATGCTGTGTTAAAATTGTTCTTGTCTTAGTTTCTAAGCTTTTTAAAGCTGTATTTGACCATTTAACGGTTCCAAACGAATACGTTAAAACAGGTATTGCGTAGGTATTAATTGCTTTAAATAAGTTTTTGCTACATAATTGGGTTTTACTAAGTAAACGTATCCTGTTAAAATATTCTAGCTGTAATCTATCTCTGATTGACTTATGTTCTAATAAACGTGCTTGATGATACCCTAAATATTTATATAGTTCGTTATCTTTCATTGCTGTAATACTATCTTGTTCACTAATATTATAATCACCTGTAACTATTTTACCTTTTACTATATTTAATTTTTTACATTTATCTAACCCGAAATCCATTTTTATATCTTTAGAAAATTTTAAAGTTATATCTAGTAGTTGTATCATATTAGTTTCTTTATTCGAATATAATTTCAAATCATCCATATATAATAAATGAGTTAATTGATGAAGTTTCTTTCTATTGTTTTTTATATCAAAACCTATTTTAGAGTCAATTAATTCGTTCGATAGGGGATTAAGAGCTAAACAAAACCATAAAGGACTCAACGAATCACCCTGAAATATGCCTCTTTTTATATGTATTTTACTAGTATTAATATCTTTCGAGTCTGTCCGTAAATGAAGAGTTGTTCTCCAGTTTTGCATAGTGTTTTTAAGAAATGTTATTAAAATTGGATGAATTTTGTATATATTTAATATTTCAATTAGCCAGGAGTGGGGAACACTATCAAATGCCTTTTTATAATCTATGTATGATATAAAAAGACCTTTTCTACCTTTTTGAACATGCTTAAGTACAACAGAATCAATAATCAATTGTTCTTTGCAACCTTTATGTAACTTTTTGCAACCTTTTTGTTCTTCTGTTAATATTTTATTAATTTCTAAATGTTTATTAATTTTATATGTTATGCATGAAGTTATAATCTTATAAATTGTTGGGAGGCAAGTTATTGGTCTATACTGAGATGGATCGTGAGTTCGATTACTTTTTGGTAACATATAGGTGATTCCTTCAGTTAAAAATTCTGGTAGTATACTATTTCCTTTTATAATATTTGTAATCTGTTTCGCTAAGGCATGATGTAGTATGTGTAGTTTTTTATACCAAAAGTTCTGAACATAATCTGCTCCTGGTGCTTTCCTGCTATGTGTATTACTAATAATATTTTTAAGTTCATCTACTTCTATATCCTCAAACTCCATTTCGTTAATTGTTCCATAACGTAATTTTTCTCTCGAGATCCACTCAGCGTCTTTATTGTGTTCTGTGTTATTACTCCATATATTTTCCCAATATTCTTTTAAAGCTTCTACCGATGGTGCGTGTTCGAT